GGAAGAGAGGCTAACAAAGTACACAGAGAAACAGATGGACGACTGTCTGTCATTGTATGGCTACAAAGTGCACCTATATGGCAAGTTGATCTGATAAAGAGAACAAGTGTAGACACAATGTAGTCGTACATAATAGAGTGGCCATAAAAACAATTTCTTACTGATAGAGAAGCCCACTGGAGAATCTAAACTATGCACAGCCACCATTAGAACATATTGTCAAATGTTAGAAATCAATAGCCACTCAAATCATTTCTGTAAATACATCCCTAAAACTCCTCTCAACCCACTCAAACCACATCCAGGTCTTTTTAATGATTCACAGATTTGTCAGTGTAGTTTAGAGCACAGTATGAATTGCTGTGAACCATAAAAATGAATAAATCTTCATCACGTAGCTCAAATATGCAGGCAGCCACTTCAGAGGTGTTGTGCTGAAATTTGACTGCTATCATGCAGACATGTGGACGCTACAGATTACAATCACAATTTCCATTTCCACCAAGAGAAAATGCAATTGCCAACGTGAAAGCGAATCTAAATGCTGGACATTTCAGGCAATTCAGAAATGTCGGCCAGATGCATTTTTTAGGGTGTGGTCACCCTAATCTAGCATCCATATAGCTGTGTGACATGCATGTAAAAGGGAGATAGATTCTGCAGGGGAGTCGGCATTTGGCACAACATCATTGTCTAAAATGGCCAACTGCTTTCAGCTACATGGTAAATTTTGCTAATTTTCATGGTTCATAGTGAGGCCTAAAACACACTAACAAATACCTGAATGTGGTTTGAGCAGGTTGAGAGAAGTTTTGTGGATGTATTTATGTAAGTTAATTGGGTGATGATTGATTTGTAGGGTTTGTTAGCAACATTAGCTTTGTAGCTCTGGTACTAAATCTTAGAATTAAAAATTGGACATTAAACACGACTGGGGAAATATCTGGGGAAAGCGGAAAAAATTGTGCAAATCAGATTTTTGACTAACCCATACCTTTAACTGAGAGATGCAGTGGAAATGGTAATGTGATAGTATAGTAATGCCTTCTCTGTCTAACACACACATCTTATTAATACATTATCAAAGTGCTCTTCTGCCCTTGGATGGGTGGATGGTGCTTTTAAAAACTTAACCAGCCATGCTCTGCTCTTCCTAGTGCCCATTCATGAGAGCTCCGAGGTCTGAACTGAAAGTGAACCCACACAGTCGTGCTGGGATAAATAAAATCTGCTTTAATGGCTCCTCTCACATTTGTCCCCACACTTCCGCCACCCCCTCCAAGCGAGCCATATTTCATTATCTTATAGTGCTGCTCAAAACTTGAATAAATGCCGAGGCACAGACAGTTTGGCCAGCTTCCATCCTGGAACGCTATATATCAGGAGTGTAGAAACGCAACAGGAAGAGGAAATCTCAAATATACACATCAGCAGGGTCTATCATATTTACAAACCAGACACATTCCCAGCCAGGCTTTCTGGGAACGTAGCCTTTAAGAAAAAAAATACATTTAAAAACAACTCAAAGCTAATCCTCAAACATGAGCAAACTTCTTTTCGTTCGGATTATTCATAGCAGACTTAAAGGAGGCGGTGATTAGAAAACGTTACACGTTGACTAATAACCCTTTCTGAGTACTAGATCAAACAATGAGCCGGAAACTAAAGTGCCAGCAGACTGGAGGCTCTAATGTGATGGAGATGATGGCGATGACCTCACTGGTGAGCTGGTGCAGGTGCAATGGAGCAGTAAATCACTTGCAGAGAAGCCTAGGCAGGAATGATCCTCATGGTTTATGTTCTTCTCGTTCTTGTGGACCTCGGAGACGTTATTACTAGACCTAGTCATTTTCCTTCTTCTCAGCCATAGAGTCATACCAGCTATAAAAACAGCATCCTAATCGTTAGTAGAAATACTGAACTATGCTGAAGGTATGAAAGCCTCTACTACACTGCAGAAAACAATACCTTGGGTACAAGGGAAAGCATTTTATATGTAGAAAATATATTGTCACTGTTTGCATCATCATATTAAATCGTAATGTTTTGCCAAATTGATAACTTTATTGGACAAGGCAAAAATGTTTTTAACATTGGATGTTAAAGGTATTTTACTTCAAGCAATTCTGAAGCATTTCTATTGGTCCAGTAATCATACAATGTGCACACACTGTAAAGGGCAGCTGCAGTGTTGGAAAAAATATATATTTCTCTTAGTAAGACGGTGTGAGCATTTTATTTTATTCAATCAGGGTGGTCATGTTGAGTGAAATTATTTTACTGCACTGGCAGACTGTTTTATTTACTTTACTATTTCTACTGCATTATTTCTTGAAACAAGTAAAAATATCTGCCAATTTTACATATAATATCACTTGATGAAAATACTTAAAATAAGTTAAAACTACAAAACTAGATTAAATACTTATAACAGTATTTCTTACAAAAATATCGTAATGATAAATATTACATATATTACCTATGTAGATCTATGTATATGTTACACTTAGTATAATACTTCACTTATCTTTACAGGTAGCACAAAATACAAGGCCAATTTCTCAGTGTGGTCCAGCTGGGAGGCTCATTTACCGTCAAGCTTCGGCCCTGTCACAGGCCTGAGTCACAAATTGCCACAGTGTCACTGCCGTGCCATTCCAGCAGCCGTTTCTCCATGTGCTGCTCATGACAGAACAGACACACAGATGCACAGCCCTGAGGGGCCATCAGCACTCTGAGACACAGGAAGACGAGGCACAGCATCCAGGCAGCCTGGAGAAGAGAGGTGACCTTCCAAAGTAGCAGAGCCAACAGAGCAATCAAGTTGTAGCTGGGGATATGTACACTGGCCGTCAAAAGTTTGGGGACACCCAGATAAGTTTTTCAATACAAATGAGCATGTTTCCTTAAATGGTTTGCAGCAGCTGAACATATTCAAGTCTGAGGTTTCTTTTTAAGAAAACAACACCACGAGGGTAAAGATTTCTGACAATATTGGTGACAGTGCCAAATTAGTGTGTTCAGTTAACCGAGGTGCCAGTATTCGAATCCTGAAATCACTATTTGAGCATTCGCTATGTTCCATCACAGGAAGAAGGAGAAAACATACAGATTTACAATTCAGTCAGAGATAATATTTATGTTATGATGGTATAGTAAGATAAGTATTAGTGATTCATTGCACTCTGCTACCATGATATATGAGTGTCTGAATGAAGGCTCATTGCCAAGAGCATACATTGTTAAAGGAGAATTCCACCAATGTTTCAATATTTCTGAATAATTCTGTCTTTGAGATGTAAACCGATTCAGTCAGAGTGGTGTGTTGTGAAATGGTTCGTTGTAGAGAAACTTATTGACTCTGATTTTTTTACAGTGGTGGTGATAGGAACCAAGGGGTCACCATGTCTACAGCACAAATACAGGCATTTTATTTACTATCCAGTTAATCTACACGTGTCTCTTGAGTTTTTAAATTTAATACTGGTGGTGGTAAAACAGCGTAAAAAATAAGTTCTTTGGGAACTATTTGCCTCATAACGCCCTGCATGTATCCCTCCACCATGAATGGATTAAAGTACAGGGATTAACAAGACGTTTTAGGACAAAACTTTATCACAAAACTATCGTAAAACATCGTACTGTATTTTAGGTATCAAGCTGAGTATTCATATCCATTTCATGTCATAACTTTCTGTGAAGGAGCTTGTAGAGGAGGACATATAGTTCCATTGACCACCACTGTGAACAATTCTGACTCGATAAAATTTCTCTAGAACAGAGCATTTCACACCAAACCACTCTGAATGACTTTGTTTACATCTCAATCATTTAGTAACGTGAAACATTAAAAACTGTTGGAGTTCCCCTTTAATTCTGTGCAACCAGTGGTTTCACCTAAAAAGTAAGGCTACAGCCCTGGATTAAATTCTGCCTAATTTCTTTTTTCAGGGCTGTCATTTTTTTATTCTACATAGTTATCCGATTATCTGTTCATTAACCCTTACAAGTATTTCAGCATCAACTTTAGTCGGAATACACAGCATAATGTCAACACGTTAACACATTTTATACCCTTGTTGCGATGTCAGCACTCAAGCCTTTCAGAGATTTAAACCACATTTGAGGCAAATGATTTGCAATTTGTGCTTTTTACAAGTTTGGAAAAGTCATTCTTTAGGTGAAACATATTCTTCATACCAAGGAAGACACCACTTTTGACGACCATGAAGCTGAGCATTGCAAAAATACCCAAAGTATCTTTTTAAGGTGAACAGAAAAACAGCTGGAAAAAGTTACTAACTTTCAAAGGCAGAAAACTTTTGATGGACAGTGTAAGCAGTGAGATCTAAACAGCTTTACACAGACTGCATATGCACAGAGTGCTATGACAAAACATATACTGACAAGCAAATGCAACTTGGAAATATGTACTTAGTGCACTTAAAGGCTATTGATCTTATTACCTCACCTCACAGTCTTCTCCAGAGTGGCCAGAGAACACATTTCATGCCATCTCATGTACAAGCCCTTCATATATGAAAAGGTAACACAATATTCATCTTGGCAACACTAGCCTAGACATTTCATTAGATAAGTGCTCTGCCTCCCAACATCTCCGAGAAGTAAATCTTAAATATAGCAGTTTGCATAAGCAGTTTTGTTCAGCCTAAGTAGCAGAGTAAGCAGCAGACAGTGATTGAAGCCCGTATAGTTTCCATTAGGCAACATGCCCACTGACTTTCGGCAGAACCCAGACATTCATCTCCATAATTAGCGTTGGGTTCACATGGCTCCTGGCTTATGTTATTATGGCAGGTCGGGCAAACATGAGTATCTTCCTGTACACAATATGAGGCCTATGCTGTAAGGCACACATTTCAGAGAGTCTTTCACATATTGCAACATCCACAAAATTATTCTTAATAAAATGAAATACAAATCCCATCCCCAGAAGGCATGCTTACTGTTCACTTACATACTGATGACAGGAATAAAAGTCAGCAACATATCACCTTTTTAAGCATTTTAAGTAACTATACACAATAAACAAGTACAATTTATTAGAAATTAGTGTGTTACATACAGATTGCCAAATGTTAGCAGATTATCCCTTCCCTAGCAACAATACCGGCTCCTACTTGGTTTCTTCAATGTGCATCGTTTCTTCAATCTTTGTGCTTCAAACTACAGTACCGTGCAAAAGTCAGAGACCACCTTTCATTTATTTCATTTTCAGTCAAAATGGCAATTAATAGCAGGTTAACTGTTCAGGAGATATTTCTGAGGAGATAAAAGTTAACCCACTTGCATAAGGAAATGAAAAGAAAAACAGTTTGGGACTCCAGTTATTGGACTCCTTGCAAGACCTGGTAGACCACAAAACTGTCCTCATGCGATCAGCAGTACTTAAAGCCCCTTTTTTAAAGAGAGGGAAAAAAAAAAACTCTTCACTCTTGCTTCAGGTCTGAACAAATCCACAGGTGTTTTTGTCCATCCTTCTACTCTGAGAAGACAGTTTAGTGCTATGGGTCTGAAAGGAAGTGTAGCTGTCAAGAAGCCCTTACTGAGAAAAAGACAAAGGAAAATTTTGCAAATTTGCAAATCAAACAAAGAAGCTGCTGGCATTCTCAGTACAATGGGCTGACCACCGCAAAATCCAGACCTCTAAATGTGTTTGGAATTACTTGGAAAACAGAAAATGCAACCAACCCCTAAGACCTTAGAGGTGTGAAAAAAAATGCCCAGCAGATTTCTCTGAAAACAAGTCTCCTGAAAAAAAAAGAATGGAAGCTGTGATAAAGACAAAGGGTAAAATACTGCAAACTTAATAGATTTAGTTGTTGAGATTCTTTGTCATTTTATGTTCAATTTATATTTTCTGCTTTTTTCCACTGATGAAAATTAAATAAATAAAGGTTAGTCTCTGACTTTTGCACAGTACTGTAAAGAAGAATCAACACATACATACAGCTCTGGATGAGTATTTGCAAGTAAGGTCATAGACTTCATTTTTTTAACTTGATGAAAAACAACTGCATAATTCTAGTGGAACACTTATTGTAACGGAGTGATTGTTTCAGAAATGCCACCAACCATGAAAGTGGAATTACTGCAGCGCATCATCTTCTCCAAACCCAGTCTTCAGTCAGTATAGTTAAGTCAGTGGTGTAAACACATTTAAACATGAACAATTTAGACAAAGTGTGGATGAGAAACAGAACATACCAAATACCCAATGCAGTGTATGCACATGTCAAACACAATAGGCATTACAGATAATATGATTAGACTGTTAGCATATTTGGACTCATTGATAGGAGTATGAGGGGAATCCCACCTCAACTTACTACAATGGTTAGTAGTATTAAGAATAGAATAGGTTAAGGCACTGTGGTTCACATACAGTACCTCCAACAAAAACTTGAACAATAAAAAACAAAAAACAAAAAAGTCATATTGCATTGATAAGCTTGCTTTTTCTGAGTATGTGTGTGGTTGCTATGTGTGTATGCACACAGTTGCACGAGGTAAGCACAGAGTCATTTTACGTCATTTCACATTAAACAAATACTTTGTTCCAGATAGTTTATGTTGAATATCCAGTGAGCTACTGCTCAGTCCAGATCAAACTGCTTTTCTGAAAGTGATGACAACAAATCTGTAGTCAGACTACAGGCCTTATGACCTGTTGTAGTTGAAATCTTAACATTTACAAAGTGACCCAAGCCGGTGCTCTCAGACTTTCGGTTTGTATCTGCGGATTCACCATTGGATTTGTATACTGGACCAGTTGAAACAAAACAAACAAACAAACAAAAAAACTAAATGTTCCAAAAAAGGCCTGGTTGTGTAAGCAGCTTCTGATGCTTATATATATATATATATATATATATATATATATACATAAGATTTGTCTCTAATACAAAAAGTGCTGAGCTACCTGCTCCTATGAAGTGCAGAGCAAAATAGCAGATTGTCTAACTCACTTCTACCTCCCCTAGATTGATCTTTCATCAGTGTTTCAAGATTAAGACATTTTGGCCAGCATCTGTAGATCTGATAGTTGCATAGTGAAGGTATAGGGTTCTGCTGAAATGTTCCTAAGAGTATCACCACAGTAAATCATTTGAATCCCCCACTTACATAATGTTTGGAGACTAGATGATGCAAGGTAAATGTTCCCAAATAGAATACAATCTTCCCCATGTCTAACTGCCAGTGCAGTTTTAACCAAACATCCCAATTAAGAAGAGGAGAGCAAGGGAGGCTAGAAAAACAGGACTGATTCTCAAGGCAGGACTCGGTGGGTAGAAAGCCAATTTGTGTTTTTAGGACAGCTGTGTTTTGGAATGTCAGAGTTGGTACATGGGGGCCCAGGGTCACTCAGACAGCGTCAAGTGAGAGGTCAAAAGTCAGGGCTGAGGGTCTACTGTCCACGCACCTTTCTGGCTCGTGTGGTGGGGGAGTCTTGAGGGCTTGGGGTGTAGAGCTGCTGGGGGGAGGATACAGGCCCCACATTTTCTGGGTTGAGAAGGAGACACTGTTTCTGAGCTCTCTCTGGCTCTTCATCCTGAAAATAAGAACATGTTACTACTTTCAGGGTTCCCCATGGCTTATATACAAGACAGCTGTTGCTCACAGAAGGTCACCCTAGAATCACTCGCTTCTGCTGACATTTTTAACATTAAAGTGAAGTGAATGATACAACTCCTAACTAACTAACATTACTAGCTAAAAAATGAAACACACACAGACACTCAAACTACTCCTCTGCAAATGGGGCATTAGCAGCTGAAAATATGTGATGTCAGCTACAGAAAGAATGCACTACACTACACTATACACTAAAATATCAGTGGATCAGTGGCACAACTTTATATTTTTTCAATAACTAAAACCACATCATCATCATAAAACTCTACAGACTCACTGAGGGGAAAAAAATATAAGTCTGTATTTTGATATCTGCAGACTGATTCCAATACAAAGAGTACTTGTGGGTGGAACTCACAGTATCAGCAGTGAGCTCCTCCTCTGTGTGTTTACAGCAGTGAGTCGGCAGCTCCATGTCTGACAGAGCACTCTCCACGAGCTCCTCCTCATAATCTGTGTGATAGTCTGACTCCTCTGAAAGAGAGAATGAGAAAGAGGGAGAGAGAAAGAGTGTGGACAGAGAGAGGAACAAAGTGAAAAGCGAAAAAGAGAGAAAGAGAGAAAGAGAAGAAGGGAAATGACAAAGAGAGACAGAGTGAAAAGGGAGAGACAGAATGAGACAGAAAAGGAGGCAGAGAGAGAGAGACAGAGAGTGTGAGAGACAGAAAGAGACAGAAAGAGAGAGCGAGACAGACATGGAACAAACAAGAGTGAGAACGAGACAGAGAGAGACAAAGAGCGAGAGAGGGGAAAACATAAACAAGAAGAGAGCCAAACCATTAGTCTAATGATGTTAGTATAATGATTTGGGTTTGTACACAAATCACATTTAACCAAATTACTTCCTCCACTCAGAGGAGATCAATTTGTCGAGCTTTTTAGTACCCTAGGGAAGACATGCCAAAATCCCTAAAAAAGCCTGCCAAAAACCCCAGGAGAGCTCGAATAAATATCCGGGTACTTGGATGCTCTCCTGCACCTTCTCTCAATCTTTTCTCTCTCACTCACCATCCACAAGAGCTTGTTTGACAGGTTCAATGCGGGAGACAATCTCTGCCAGATCAGTGAAGGAGGCGTTTGGACAAGTCACCATCTAAAAGACAAAAACACAGGAATCATGAGCCAACCTCTCACTCAGCCTCTGAAGCAGCTCAAACAGCTGCTGGCTCTGGAATAGTGTGGGCCTGGCAGTGGGCTTACATTGTTTCTGTGGGTGTTGTGGAACTCCTCCTGACGCCTGTCCTTCAGCATTTTCTCCACCACTCCACTCCTGATCCACACGTCAAACACAGTCTTACCATGCTGGTAACCCACCTCCTACCAACAGAGCAAGGATAATATCACTGAATAGCCTACACAGAATGAACTCAGCTTGCAAATGCAGCTACAAGGAGTGTACAACAACTTGATTTGGATATTTAGGAAACAATTCAATGCACAATGAAATCAGAAACCTTAATTAAGTTCCATTCACTTATTGGGTACCATTCAAGATTAGTGTGTATTTAAAACACACTGAAAACACAGTAACTGGAGGAACTTTTACACCATATTGAATGTAGGCAATGAAAACAGTGCGTGAGACATTTTTATGGATTTTTATGTTTAGAAATAGCCTAAGAATTTTGTTTGGGTCAAAAAATAAGTATACTTATTATAATCAATTATAACATCCAAAATGAACACAGTGAAATCAATTACAATGCATATTTACACCCTAGCTGCTGCACTAGGTAATACTGTAAGTCTTACATGTCAAAGTGGTGGGTTAAAGTAAGAAATAGAAAATGTGTGGGTGTGTGTGGCTGTAGGACTAAGATAATAATAAGGGTCAGATAGAAAGCCACTTACAGCAATCTCATCGAACTTGCCAAACTCCAGAGTGCGGTATCTGTTGATGGGGGGTCTGATGTATTCACAGTAATCACTGTTCTTAACGGACTCCAGCTGCCGCACACAGCACACGTAAGCCAGTCGAGTCTGAATCTCAGCCATGTTCAACACCTAAACACAAAATTTGTTCAATACAAGGCTTGCAAAGTCATTTAATTTTTTATTTTACACATGGCCAAAATCCAATTTCCTTTACTTTGACTTTCTCTGCCAGAGGGTTGAGACGTTTCCATAGCAGCCACCATCCGGACAGGGCATCTCCATAGTTAGTGAGATTGGTCTCGTCCTGGCTGCCCACATCAATGGCAATCACAACCTTAGCTCCCATAGACCGTGCCACATCCGCTAAAAGACAGAGAAAATCGATGAGTTACATAACACCAACGACAGACTACTGCAGAGGACATCTTTCATAGGTCCAAATTAAATAAAGACTCCTAACTCCTAAAATTCTAAAAAGTGAGTGACGCAGCAAAACATGAGGCAGAAATACATTTGTAATGTCTTAATACAATTAAACACAAAGTTTCCATTTGTATAGGGACATTTTGTTTCCCATTTGCAACAACAATGAATTCAAATACTGAGAGCTGCATAAGAATTACATATGCCTAATAATATGTTTAATAAAATGTTTTATGATTATGCATTGTAGTTGTAAAATTGTATGGCTGGCAGTAAAAGTTCAGACCAGGCAGGTTATTGATGTAGCCTCCATCCATGAGGAGATGTCCATCTTTGGGATCACAGAGAGGTGGAAGGTAACCAGACAGAGACATGCTGGCACGCACATACCTCCACAGAGAGCCTGAGGGAGACAGAGAGAGAAAAACAAGTTTGCTTACTGAACAGACATGAAACATGTACAGAAAAAAAAACAGCAGATGAGTGAAGAAGGTCAGCCAACCATCAGTGTGCACTCTCATGGCTGAAGCAGTGATGTCAGTGGTGATGTTAAAATAAGGGATCCACAGATCCTGCAGAGAAAGAAAACAAAAAGTGGTAAAACATTATTAACCATGTTTCTTTGCCCACCTGGGTGAGGCTAGCTTGTCTCCTACCTCAATTTGCTTATTCTGGAAGACAGTATTGATACTGGAATTGAAGGCTGCTCCAGAGAACATAGAGGTGGTGGGGTATGTCAAATCCAGAATCTTCTTAAACACTGATGTCATCTCCTTCAGAAGTTGAAAAGAGATGACAGTTAAAGTGGAAATTGCTGTTTATATAAGCAACACAGTCAAAACAGTGCTGGCTCAGTCAGCACTGGTTCATATCTGAATAATTTAAGACAGTGGTTTGCTATCCCGCTCCTAGTGTAGCACTACCCTGAGTAGTTTAGTATTCGCCTGCTCTGACACACCAAGTTCATCTAAGGAAAGGATTATTAATTAGTAGTTTCACAGAGCCAGACATGATCTCATAATGAGAGGGCAACTAGGACCAACATCTCATGAAGGCTGAGCTTAAAGTAGGGATGATGGTGTACTCATCAATACTGCCAAATTGACAACAAGCCTATCATCAGCCCATGGATTTTACGCAAGTTAGCAAGGCTAAAAATCCCCCCACCAAAGAAGTCCAATTAAACATGCAGAGGTGTGTTGCGTGTGTAGAGAACACATTACATGTGGTAAAAACAAACATTACTGTAAAATATACATTTAATGTAATTCTAGGTGACACTTTATTTTGAGTGGTCCTTTTAGATGAAACAAACACTCAACGGACTCTCAGTAACATGTCAAAAACATACGAGGGTTAGGATTAGGTTTTGGGTTGAGGTTAAGGTTAGGGTTAGTATTAGGGCCAGGGTTAGGGTTAGGTTTGGGGTAATGGAAGTGACATTAACAGTACATTTACTTAATGTAAGTAATGTATCAACAGTACATCTACAAGACTTTACAATGTATTCAAATGCTACACTACTGCTACTTCACTATGTTGTTGATGTGTTACTGATAATCTGCGAAGAGTTTATTAATCATCTACAAAGGACCTCCAAAATAAAGTGTTACCTAAAGTATTACCTTTTGCTTGTGTTATCAATTGAATGTTAAAAGAGCACAAACTAGAGGAATTTGGGAATGTACCTTTGTTGATGGCATAGATGTATTCTCCCCATAGATGTATTCTCATGACAAGATCAATAAATTAGCTGAAGAAGTTTATCATGGGTGCTAGAGGAGGAAAATCGCCAAAAGCGATTTAGCCTTTAGATATAATATATCCACAATTGTCACAGACACAAGGGGAGCGTTCACAAAGCAAGGTGGGAATTCAAATGGGATTCATGTCATTTGTTAAATGGAACTAAACAAATACAGCCTAAATCTGAAAGGACAACTTCAAATGATTTTTAAATGTCTTTCATATCTGACTTTGACATCTTCAGAGCAGAATCTGATTGGAAGCGGACGATAACAGATTTCAGACTATTCAATTCCAAAGTTAAAATCTCCTTTTACTCAAGGCATTGGGTAACAAGACAAGGTAGGGGTACTCCAGTGTGAAAGTAAGTACAGACTGACCACAGCCCACTCCCTGGCTCGGATCCTCATCCTGCTGTAGCTGCGGTCTTCAGCGTATAGGGCTCCCATCATGGCACCGATAGAGGTACCCCCCACCAGGTCCACAGGGATTCCTGCCTCAGTGAGCGCTCTGAGGATTCCCACCTGAGAACAACCCCTGAGACAGAAATGACAGGGAGTGCAGCGTGGAGGTAATAAAGAAGAGTACAGCGATTCTTAGTGCACATTATTTCATACTGCTTCACTATCCTCTGTCACCAAAGATGACTATCTTTTAACAACGTATTTTGAGGATACAAGACAGGATTCACATATTAAGTTTAGTGAAACAAACTGGCCAAATGATTCTTCATCATCAGTGCAGATAACACTGTCTCTGACCTTGACCCTGTCTTATAGATTTAGAACTAGTGTATTGATTCATCTTTAGAATGTACTTGTCCAAGCTTCAGAGCATGAGGAGAATAATGTTTACACTGTGCAAAGCAAAGGTTGTCTCACAGGGGAGAGGAGGAAGAGAATGGCAAACCAACCTTTAAGCACCTCCTGCACAACGCAAAGAGAGACAGGATAGACAAACAAAGAGATCATCAGAACTGTAAATTATGGAGAGAGATGCAGAACAAAATGGAGGGAAAGAGGGAGACAGAGAAAGACAGACAAGAAAAGAGGGGGGAGACAGAGAGCTAGAGAAGGTAAAGACCAAACTGAAACTGAACTGGAGATTTAAAAGAACATAGAACTTAAAAAAAGAGAAAGGAAATGCATGAACAGAAAAGAAAGAAAGACATCAAGGGCATTTGAGAAAAACTGTGCTCTTTTTTCTAAATACATTAGAAACATTTTAAAACCATTTTTGAGTCAACAAAAAGTGCCACGGATTCCAACTCCAAGTAACTACTCAATAGAGGTGTCGAAAATTGATAAAATATATTATTGTGATATTTTGAGTGAAGTAATGTGGAGGCACAAACATTGACATTTGATTAGATAAACAGTAACATACTATGTGCACTGGTAGGGTTATACCAAAACTCATCAGCGAGACTCCTAATGCTACATTGTAAATCGCTCTGAATAAGAGCCTCTGCTACATACACTACATGTCCAAAAGTTTGGACCTGTTCATCCCACATTTCTTTTAAAATCAATCATTTAGAGTTTGTTCCCCCTTTGCTGCAGTAACAGCCTCTACTCTTCTGGGAAGTCTTTACACTAGATGTTGGAATATTGCTGTGGTATGGTAATTTGATTCCATTCAGCCACAAGAGCATTAGTGAGAGGTCAGCTGCTGATGTTGGATGATTAGTTTTGGATCACTAATGCCATTCCAATTCATCCCCAGAGGTGTTTGATGGTGTTCAACCACTCCAGAGAATGCAAATCTATTTCTCCACAGCTCAGTGCTGGGGAGCTTTATATCCTTCTAGCTGACGCTCGGCTTTGGGCATGGTGACCCCATGTGCAGCTGCTCCAGAGCATCATGTTTTGTTGACAATGCTTTTTTAATGTCTGTGTCAGCACCTCAAAGTAGCTGAATTGACTAATTAGGAGGTGTGTCTGGATACTTTTGGACATAGAGTGTATGTAAATGTAGGGTCAACACTTTTTGCAATGTTTGCAATTTTTATACTTCACAATAATGTCATACAGGGGCTCTCCACTATTACCCTATCCCTTTTAATCAACAATACCTCTACTTATTCAGTTACTTGTCTTTCGTCTTTATAATTTGTATTTAAAATAGTGGATACCTGGCCCCTCCTCCTCCCAGCACCAAAGCAATGGCGTTGCCTGTCAGTACTCGTGCCAACCGGGAGAAGTCTGAGTGACGGTCTGCTTGCTTTTGGAACACCCGCTGGTACATCTCCCTCTATGAAGAAGGAACACGGAGCACTGTGACTGATGTGTAGTAATCTTCGGTGTGCTGTTAATAATTAAAACACTGAAGTAGAGCGCTGTCTTGACTTTTGGGATGCTGCATGAGGCATTTCATGAGTGATGCTCCTAATGTTTCTAATACTGCAAGGCTCTGGGAGACCAATTCCTGGCATAGAAATGCCTAAGTAGCCAAATACTCTTCCACCATTTCTAATAATGACTGACAGAGCTGAGAAAGTCAGGGAGGAATTTAAGCTAATCCTTCTGAAATGGGCAACCTGACATTAAGCAGCTGCAAATGTATGCTTGTGTGTGTGAGTGTGTGTGTTCAGGACCAGAAAAATGGACACAGACACCCATATACATAATTCAAATGGGACAAATGCATGACCCCAAATTCTCATACGGTATAAAAGTGAACATTTTTGTACGTGTTACCAGTTTGGGAAGGCTCCTCTTGGAGAAGACCCTGCGAGGGCAGGACAGGTGTAGGTGTCTAGGGACCCAGCTGCGCATGTTGAGCCACTCTGCCGTTCCTGTGGGTGGAGGACCGTCCTCACGGTGCAGCAACACCAGCTGCTTCTGAGCCCTCACAGCACTGCCCTCCAGCATCCGCTCCAGCTGGAATGAGAGACAGGAATATGTCAGGTGTTATATTGAGGGCTTCTGGATGACGGGGCTTTCATCATAAATCAGAGAGACTGCATTTAGAGTTGAGGCCAGGGCTGAGAAACTCCAGCACAGTCCCACACAGTCTGGTGATTTGCTCTAACACACCTACCTGGTAATTAACTGTTGAGTTTAATTGGGTGTGTTTGAGCAAATGAGCTGAGCAGCCCTAATCTCCTCTGTGCTGTTGAGGCTAAACTGAATTTAAAAAACATATACCAAAGCAACAAAGGGGATTGTGGCTAAAATAGGCCTATACATTTTGTGGCAGAAAGCAGAAGCCAGCCTCTTCCTGAAGGTTATTTAATGTCTGTGTCTAAATATTGATTTGCTCTCCAGGGCTGTCTGTACCTCCTTTCCGAGGACACCGGCTTTCCCTCTCCAAATCACTTCTCCATGGACATAATTACTTCCACAACGACAGGCCCATTTCACCACGTCTCAGATTCAACTCCCATATTCACACAGCACTGCTTTAGCCCTCAAGTCAGTTAAACCCAGCAGCAAACACACGATCAATGGGGGCTGCTGTTCCATGCACACCTCTAATCCCACTTCAAACAGACAGCTTGGGCTGCCAGCGCCTGGGTACCTGGAACAAACCCCACCACAGTAAGCAGCCCTTATGGAGGCCGTGTATATCTGCTTTGTAGACTGCAATGTTTTTATTTTACATGGCTTGTTTGCTTTAGTGTTTCAATTATAAACATCTGCTCATTTGGATTTATTAAAAGCAGTCTTTTAAAATTGACGAGGCACCAGAAAACTAACAAATGAGCTCAGATTTTAGTTAAAAATTGAGCCTGTTTTTTCTTTCGATAGAAAAGAAAGTAGAAAAATAAAATAGCTCAAACACCTGTCCTGGATAATGCTGGATTATAGTCACACAATCTATAAGGAACTCCTTCAATACTCAAAACAATGGATATCATAGCGCTTTATGCCTTATAACCTGTGACAGACTTCAAACTTATCACCTAAACACCATGGATTTGTTTTCATTTAAAAGGCTTTATTGCAACAGGAACCACCCAACTTTATAAATCTAGAGTCAAGAGGAACTTTGTTATCCCAACTATATGCAAGTGAATATGTATGCTATGACAAAGTTATTCTACATTTAGAACTGTTATGGACCAAATATGCTTGACTTCTTCTAAATGTACCATTTTCTTCAACAAATTCAGGTAGGGAGCTTCTTCCTGCAATGGTCCTTTAAAATGACATTTAGCTAGGTTCAAAAGGACATGTGATCACCTCTATGACAGTCTGGTTGAACTACTTCAGTATAAGAGTCAATTACACACATTTTTTAGTCTATTATTTTCCTAATAAATAATTGAATAAACACATGATATATATATATATCACATTATTCTACAATACCTTCTTCATGTAAATACATTTTCGGTGCAATAAAATACTTTATTATTTTGCACTTAAGGAGGCATTTAAGCTTTCTAAAGTCTTCAAAGATTTAAGTTTGAAAGCTTTAAAATCATAATAGGTTAAAAAATAGGAATACTTCAGAAGTATTGAACTCATTGAAAAATTTTGCCTATAAATTCTGTCAAATGTCATGCAGCACAACCAAAAACTTTCTATTCTGTCATGGTTTTGGGATGAATGGGCAGGGTATTTCAATGTCAATATTGCAACGCCAAGGAGAGCAGTCCTTTCACAAATACTAACAAAAGTTTTTAAGTCATTTTTAAAGTAATTTTAAGCCATTAGGTTCAGTTGTGCTGTGGAAAACCATGACTATGTGTTATTATTAAAACAATTCTTATTTATTTGGGAAAAAATAACTTTAAATTTGAGTGTTTATACACTTTTATTAAACTCTGCTTGCACTACCTGACATTCTCTGTATAATAAAATTGATAATTGTTTAAAAATTAATCATTGTAACACTATAAAATCTACAAAAAAATTATGAACACATTGATTAGATTCTTGCAGAATCAGAGTGATTATATGATGTACCTCGCCCACTGCTGGGTCCTGCTCCCCCAGTCCCACGATTATGATACAGTCAGCCTGGCGGATGCAGCGCTGTGTCCAGGGTGTGAGTGAGCTGTCGGTCTGGTACAGAACAATTCGGTGAATGTCCTCCTGCTGGCCCAGCCAACTTGACAACCTGTACTCATGCACACTGAGGGAGGAAGGGCTAGGTGAGTCTCAAACATTCACACTGCTGACTACTGGAATGACAGGTAAGGATGGCTCAGTGAATGCATGTTAAACCCTGATAGGGGCTTTGGTTTGAAAGATTTGCCTTTGGATTGACAGACAGATGTCTGATTAACAGATATAAATGGACCTTGTTAAGGCCGTGTTCTGATGACACCAAAGATAACTGCTGATTTATCTGAAAGAACTAAAGAGTGAAATTAGTCATGAGACACATTAAAACCACACCAGTACCAATATGACAAAGAAGGAGAAAGAAAAAGAGAGAGAAATTACTCAGAGTGCACGGTATCTCTGAGGAATCCCTGCTTGTGTTTTTCATTGTGTTATGCATTTACATATCACTCAACACAAATCCTTTCATCCTCTTAGTCAAATAACCGCTTCATTGTGTAAAGAGAAGTTTGGGAATTTGTTGTTTCAAGTCAGTCAGCAAGCAGCTCATTCTTTTACTAATTTACATTGCATAAGTAAACTTCATTGTGTTAAACAATCAAAACATGAGCACACATTTGCACATTTGAAGTATCACACTGGTGACACACCTGTCTAGTGCTGCAGATCCCAAACGCTGTTTGATGATGTCACTGGTCAAGAGGAGAGTGGGACCTGGAGGAACAATTTTAATTGTAAAGCAAAGCAACAACTTTAAAGTAATTTCATTTATTCATATGCTGCACTCTGTGAACAGCTTATGCCACGGCTTTCCGGAACATGTTATAATTCAGTTAAGGCCACGGAAATCCTCCTGGAAAAGTCTCACAGCGCATAAATGAAATGTGACAATCAATGATCCGCTGAATCACTAATGCCTTATCTGGTCATGATCAACTCAGTGACCCTGTCCAGCTGAATGTAATTGAAGAGGTCTGCTGTTACCGATGGCAATCAGAGCATGTTGCAGCTCCAGCGTGAACGCAGTCAGAGGGACCTCCTCAGACACGGGCAGTACAGCCACAGTGGACAGGTTAGAGGCAGGATTCCCAGCATCCCACTTACTGCCTGGGGTGTGGAAAGCCAGACTGCGTGCTGAAAAAGCAGAATCAGTATGATTTAATCAGCCACTGGAATTCACTGATCATGATTTTTTTACGGTCGATTTCACTTTCTTTACAGCCAAATTTTATTAGACTTTTTTTCAAAAACATGGAGCTCATTCTGTGCAGGCTAAATGATAAACCACAGTCGCACACTTCTAGTACTTTTTGCTATCCCAAGTCAAAATACAAATAATATTATTTGCTCTTTAATGGGCCAAACTAGGGTTTTAAATCCTTGAAAGAAAATCAATGGTCTATTTAAATAGCTTGAATGGAACAAATAGCCGCATCGAAAGAGGCAACAGGCTATTTAGCAAAATGATTCAGGCATAATTATGCTGTGATGTTTTGGTTTAGGTGTAGAATCAGCATTTAAATACAGCACAAGTGCACTTACTAGGCTCACATCATAACATAAAATTGTGACAGAGATCAGCAAAAAGTTAAAATTATAAACTGGCTAATTGCAGACTGCATGTTTGGAGCAAAATGTAATTAAAAAAACAACATTCTTAAACATTTTAGAGCTATAGAGCGTTAAATATTTTCTCAGTAAGGCAATTTGCCAAATATTAAGCCTGGTTCTTCACAAAATTACATCAGCAATTTTAATCAACTGTTGAATTAGGCTTAATTTGTGCCCAGGAAATTGCTCTTTAGAGCAATGAAACACAGCTTCAGTATATCACTACACTCGATATATTAACTCTATATACAGAATCAGCACAGACACACACAAGTACACACCTGTTAGAGGTCCATTAACCTGCTGAAGGATCTTCTGTCCAAGCAGATGAATAAGCCGTGTGACCACCTAAAGACACCAAAGAGGGAGAGGGAGGGAAAAAAACAGTGAAAATGAAAGTATCAGAGGTGTAAAATGAGCCCATATCCCAAAAGATGTGTGTAGTGGATCAGTCACCTGAGGGAATTTCCTCTTGATGGAGCTGAGCGCTCCTTCTGGCAGCTTGGCAAGCTCAGAGTCTCTTACAGCATGCACCGTAGTGGCTCTGTTCTGATGGGTTAGAGCCTCCACCTGTTCAAACACACATATATAAATACATTATGAACACAATGAGTTATGCATTTGTAATGTGCCACTGTAAACATTGTTTTAGCTGCAGTGAAAGCACTAAAATGTTTTACTTTAGATTAAATTAGAGCTCTGCAAAGTCTCTAATCATAAAAGTCCAATACTGAAAGTGAACTTTTGAATCCAAATTAAAAACCATAACTGCAGGAGTTAAGTTATATATTTAGATCAAAAACTGGATGATTGTTGAAGCCAGAAATGCTAAATAACTACAGTATCAACAAATGTACTGTTGCTGTATATATTATTTCTATGGAGATGAGTATTATTTTTATTCTGATGTTTGACTGAAATCATCCTTCAGTCAAATGTTTCAAAACAAATGATGTGAGCTCAATCTGCAGATTCCACATAAAAATCTGCCTTGGGTTTAAATAGCTTACAATAGTGTGAAAACTGATGCTGAAACTACATACATGACTAACTATTAAAGTTGAATTAATATTAAAACTTAGCTCATTGTTTATTTACTCTGTTATTCATTTTCTACCCTGACTTTAAAATAACATAGTTTGCTTTTTTTAGCAAAGTGGGACACACATGAACGGAAACAGTGCAGCACCACTGAAAATGTTTACAAGATTCCCCAAATAGATCTCAGAGCTGAAAACAGCATCATTAGGACCCTGACCTTTATAAAGATGGCCATGACGTAGAAAGTACAGTAACTAAATTTGGAACTGCACATTAGGAGGCCTATGACACTGTGTCCCCAGACAAAGCATTTACGCCAATCTTCGCAGTGTGTAACCATGGCATCAGCATGGACAGGTATTCTTAGCAGCATCGACATCACCACGGAGACGCATGAGACACTAACCAATCAGAATACAGAGGGTATGAATAGCCATCCGGGGGAATCACCGGGAGAGAAGGTGTTACCTAAGACCTCTGGTTCCTTTCCCAAGGCCACAGACCCATTAACACCTGATAAATACAGCCAAGCTAATGAAAACTCATGCAAAGAAACAGGCCTGCTACTTTTAAACATCCCACAAATCTGAAAGTGGGACATTCATGTTCATTCTAGTGTTGTGTTGTAATCTCAACTTTTCATTTTTTTTCCCCCCACTGAATAAAGTTCAATCCTTTTAAGCCTAAACTAATGTGAAGAGGGGCAAAGCAGACAAGTACACAAGAACATATGTACAAAACAATCTGTTACAAATGTAATATGAATGATGACTTTTAAATAAATCTATATTTTAATCAATCGATGTGAACGAATGTCACTATTGCACAACTAAAAAAGCCAGCACATCACTTTGCCCTCTAAGCTTGACCTGGCAGGATAAGCACGGTCATCTATAGATAAACAGCTGTGTTATAAAAGAAGCCACAGCAAATTACAATGTCTTAACCCAAGAGCATTTACCACCACTTCTGTAATTCTTTTCCAATAAAATAGAAAAGATGATGGATGTATATGTTCCTTAATTTGTGAAATGTCCTATTGCTATGCTTTAATTGCTACTTTCTCCGATTACGTTAATAGGCAGGCTTGAGATGTGATAGAATATGTATTCAGAATATAGAAATGAAGTATCTGTAGTCAGCTCTTGTTACATCTTGGAATTGCAGTACTCAGGAAACTTTCTTTTTTACATTACAGAAGAAATACTTACCCACTCAATTATAAAACACTATCTTCAAAACAACATCAATACTTGTTTATTAGTTGTTTTAAAATCACAGCACAGTGTGCAGAAAATACACTCGTTAGGCGGCATAAAGAAATACTTAACAAATAGCTTGCTTAGAAACACTGAAGCTCCTGCTAAAGCACATGTAGACTGATAAATCATTGTGATGAGCCAGTTATATATCTCAGTGATGAATGAACAGTCACCTCAGAAGTGGATGTGTTCACGTGTAATAAGATTCAGTGATAAGCATCAGTGTTGTACTGGACTTGGGCATGCATTTCGTGGGATGTTGTTAAAGCTATTAAAGCAACTCTGGTTAATTATGATCATTTTTAGTTATTTTAAGAGCTAACAGATCTTTACCATTATGGAACTTAACAGATATTAATGCATTTAAATCCAGTGACTTACAACACCAAGAGACAACAAAAGAGTTTACAAAAAAGTAAACAAAAACAGAATGCAATGATGTGCGAATCATTTAAACCCTCTATTTGACTGCAAGTAGTACAGAGATAACATACTAGATATTAAAACTGAGATATTTTACTGTTTTTTGAAAAAAAACACTACCACTGCCATTTTCGATTTGATGGCAGTAACACTTTTTCAAAAATGTTCGGACAGGGAAACAAAAGACTGGTTAAGTTGTTTAATGCTAAAAATACACCTTGTGGAACATCTCACAACTAATTAGCTTAATTGGCAACAGGTCAGTAACATGACTGGGTATAAAAGAGCATCCCAGAGAGGCTGAGTCTTTCAGAAGTGAAGATGAGGATGGGTTCACCACTCTGCATGGGCAAATAGTGCCACAATTCAAGAATGTTTCTCAAATGTAAAAGAGTAAAGAATTTGGGGATTTCATCATCTACAGTACATAACATCATTAAAAGATTCAGAGACTCCAGAGAAATCTCTGTATACAAGGGACAAGGCTGAAACCCAATATTGGCTGGCTATGATCTTTGGGCCCTCACGTGGCACTGCATTAAAAACAGACAATGATTCTGTGGTGGAAATCACTGCATGACTCAGGAACATTTACAATAACCACTGGCTGTGAACACAGTTCAACACTGCATCCACAAATGCAAGTTAAAACTCTACCATGCAAAGAAAATTCTATATATAAACAGGATCCAGAAACGCCGCCACCTCCTTTGGGCCTGAGCTCATTTAAAATGGATTGAGGCGAAGTGGAAAAGTGTCCTGTAATCTGACAAATCAAAATTTGATCTTTTTTTGCCCTTCAGGCTGAAAAGGTGAGGAACCATCCGGCTTGTTATAGCGTACAGTTCAAAAGCCAGCATCCGTGATAGTATGGGGGGGTTCAGTGCACATGGCAAGGATGACTTGCACATCTGTGAAGGCAACATTTAATGCTGAACAAAATATACAGGTTTTGGGGCAACGTATGCTGCAATCCAGAATACATTTTTGTCAGGAACGGCCTTGCTTATTTCAGCAAGACAATGCCAAAGCACATTCTGCATGTATTACAACAGCATAGCTCGGTAGTAAAAGAGTCCGGGTGCTAAACTGCAGACCTGTCACTCATTGAAAACGTTTGACGCATTATGAAATGTAAAATATGACAAAAGGAGACCCTGAACTGTTGAGCAGCTGAAATCCTATATCAAGCAAGAATGGGAAAGAATTTCACTTTTAAAACTACTGCTGTTGTTCTCCTCAGTTCCCAAACACTTACAGAGTGTTAAAAGAAGAGGTGATGCAAGAGAGTGGTAAATACACCCCTGTCCCAACTTTTTTTGAGGCATGTTGATAGCATATTTTATATATATATATATATATATATATATAAAATATGCTATCAATATATATATATATATATATATATATATATATATATATATATATATATATATATATATATACACATAGGGTTTAAATGATCTCCATGTGTGCATTCTGTTTTTATTTACATTTTGCACAGTGTCCCAAATGTTTTGAAAATGGGTTTATATTAACAGACTTAAGTGAGTGATATATGTACAAAAATTAGGCTAGGCTATATATAAAATATGCTATCAATATATATATATATATATATATATATATATATATATATATATATATATATATATATATATATATATATACACACATAGGGTTTAAATGATCTCCATGTGTGCATTCTGTTTTTATTTACATTTTGCACAGTGTCCCAAATGTTTTGAAAATGGGTTTATATTAACAGACTTAAGTGAGTGATATATGTACAAAAATTAGGCTACCAGTGGCAGAAGGAGGGTGCTGAAACTAAATCAGTGAAAAGAGGGCAGAATGAAAGGTGGTAGAATAAATTAAGTAGAAGTGCACCTTTCAAGAACTATTAATTCAGTTTAATGCGATTAAATGTTTTGTTGCGCTAAACACGATTTTACTGTACTGGTAATGGACTACTGCAAATGCACTTCCTACAGTTTTAATACATTTACATTTAGAAGGCTTACCACTCCGATGAGGTCTCCTCTTCCGTACTCTCCAGTCAGCTCCTTTTTCCCATCGTCCTTTAGAATGACTGAACGCAAGCGTCCACTCAGAACTATGAATGTACTGTCCGATTTATCGCCCTGCCTGAGAGAAGAAAGAAATCTTACTTTACCTACACAGTCCAATTTATACTTATGCTGAACAGAATGTCTTTGGTCTGAGTAATTTTTTGGGTTATTGTTTATGACAAAAGGCCAGGAGGGAAGAAAAGCAGCAGAGTGGAAAAAAAATGAAGAGAGTTGATGTTGTACCTATAGACTGCTCGACCAGCTTCCACAGCCATCCAGTCAAGAGCAAAGTCAATCTGCCTGACAAAAGGGGACATCCTGCGCACTACGGTGTGAGCTATATTCAGCACGACTGTGGGCTCTGCACGCATGATCCTGATACACACACAAATGACATCACGTTAATGACCTATTCTGCATCTGTGTTTACTACGCACATGCATCAGCTTTAATGAAGCAGTAAATGCTAAACTGTTATATAAAAAAGAAAAAAACAGAAAATCTTGTAATCTTGGTTAAAAATATCTTAAAGCAGTTACTTTTGGAGAAATGAATGTAAAACTTTTTATAGTATCATCAACTCTGAAAGTCAGCCATTATTCATATTTCGTATTGTTTTGGTCTGTGAAACATTGCTAATTTTAGCTGCTTAATTACATCTCATCTTTCTGCATCTCTTCTATACTTTTATTTTTCTTTATTTTAAGGAACCTTACCCAGAACACCCTACATTCATATGCATGACTATATAGAGGAGGCACATCCCACTTAAGGATCTGCCTGTCTACAGCAAATGTAATGTTAATCCTGAAACTTTGTAATCTAAAACACGACATAAAAAGATAATAGAAAAAAATAAAACTTTTTATAACATGCTCGGGACTATTTCACTATTCTGTACTCCTCTGAATGTTGTGAGTAAGGTATTTTAATACATTAAACGTGTTTTTGTACAGGACCATTATGAATTTTAAGCTAGATGTTTTAAGCCATGCGGAAGCCTATAGGAGGTAATTTATGTAATGTATCTTATGTCAGAAGCACACAGTTCACAAAACAACAACAACAAGAACAACGACGACAACAACAAATGGTAAATTCATTTTTGAAAACACTGACAACAGGAAAAAATGTTGGTCTAGTCTTGTAAGCCACCTGTCTGGTAAAGGGCCAGTAGTGTTTGTATAGGGGAGGATGTTTGTATGTGGCACATACTCATAGAAGTGGGTTTTGGAGATGGAGAGGAAAGTGCAGTCACGGTGAGCACGCACACTAAAGATGAGCGGCTCTCCCGTGAGCACGGCCAGCTGGCCCACCAGCTCTCCTGGATGAGTCACAAATAAACATGTCTCCTCCTCACGGTCAATCATTCGCTGATACACATGCAGCAATCCAGTAATCACAAACTGCACACTCACTTCCTGCAGGACATGAACACACACACACAAATAAAAAAACATGCCACTACAAATTCATACACACCACTCTAACATACTTTGCCTATTAAGGCAAGAAAATTTAACAAAAGACCTTCAAAGTAACCTCTAGTCTCACTGATCAAACTTCTTAGACTGGACAGCTCCTGTACCTGGTCTCCTTGACGTGCCACCACTGAGCCAGCCTTCACCTGGTGTAGAGTTACTCTGCCCTCCAGCAGACTGGGGTCCTGAACCACATGCACAGTTATTTCAGGTCAAAAAAAAGTCATATGCACAAATAAACTTGCTAATTTATATTTCAAATCACACTCGCTTGTTTATGAGAACAACACACACAAAAACAACTCCTTAGAAATATCCATAACACAGCCTGACCTCTACATGGTCTTTAGTGTTGCATACTAAGCCAGAATTACTAACTATTGGCATTCTTATTATTCTATTATTTTCTTTTAATTTGTTGTAAGTCACTTGACCTGAAAAAAGTATCCTATGCATTTTTTCACCCAATAAACAAGGTTGGAATGATTGAGGCCCTAAATCCTTTGCAAAAGGTCAAACAAACTCACCTGCAGTTGGATAATCCCCAGAAGGTCTTTTTTGGCTGCCTGGAAGATGGCGCCCACTTTACTCGGGTGGACATCAGAGCGCCCCCCGCTGTCTGTGTAATGAAATACCGCAGACGGCGTGTGCTGCATGGTCACAGTCTTCTTCAGAATAGACTGAAAGAGAATGAAAAAAGAGAAAAAAGCAGCAAAAACTGCATAATTTTTCTTTTGCGTAAAGCAGAAAGATTGTGTGTATCAGTAGAAAAAGGCAGCAGCAGTACCTTGTATAGAACAGGGCTGGATGGTGGTTCCTCCATGGTCACTCTGGCTCGCTCATATGCCATGCTCAGGTCATTTCCTGCCATTCCTGCAGAGCCAAACGCTCAGAATGAGCAGACACTCAGAATAATCCTTTTTGAGTACCAAACTACAAAGCTTGAGTCTGAAGCCAGGCTTTAAAGTATAAATGGACTTTCCAGATTCAGCTTACAATATTAACTCTTTAAACCAGATGTCTTAAAATCCAGACTTTTAATCTAGTTTCCGGTCCTGTAATTTAATAACTATAAGTTAAATGACCTGTTGAATGGCCACCTAGTGTCATACCTACCAACAGGAGCGTGAGATATGGCAAAAATATAACATTACAATACTTTGACATTTTCACGATACACAATGCGCATCAAAATATATTATTATTTATATATATATATATGTATATATATATATATTAATATGATATAATATTTAGTTTTTCCAAGATTTGATAAGTTGAAACAGACAACAAAGAACCAGTTGGGCCACACACAAAAAAAAAAAACTACCAAACAATATGAATATAATGATTTTATTCCACATTTCAACAGTTAATTATACTCTCTTTGTAATGAAACATGCAGTTGGTCATTGTACTGATGATATCCACAATGTGTTCAGAGAAGCATAGTGTGAGATACTGTAATGTAATTTATTACGACGATCGATATCGGCATACTGCCCACCCCTACCTACCAATAACTACAAAATCCAGGACCTAAAGCTGGATACAAGGTCTGGATATGAAGACCTCTGCCCTAAACTGTATGGACCCATATGTGGACTCACACTTCATTCTCAAATACACTCCATAACTCAATATCATTTTCAAGGTAGTGACAAATAAGAATAATAAGCCTAGGGTTCTAAAGGTCTAACTCTCCATCTCAGTGCACAGGCAAAACATAAACATGATGAAAGCCGATTTAAAAGAATAATAAGATCTGATGAAGTGGATGAATGTTATGTGTGCTACAGTATGCTGCAACAGGTGGGCTTTACCTGTGATATCCACTGGCATGGAAACTGAGCGAGGCTTCCTGACAGCTATGGACAAGTTCTCTGAAGAACTGGTCTTCCCTCCATCTGACCAAAAGTAGTTAATATATCAGCAAATAATTCATCACTATTTCTGTTTGTTTGTTTGTGTTTGCGTGTGTACCTGAGTCTGTAGACTCTGCATGCCCCTGGCTGTGCTCTTCAAAGACTGGTGTGTGAAAGTGGGGCCTGCGAGGCACACGGCTGGGGCTCCCCTCAGCAATCACGCTATTAACTGCAGTAAGAGGCACTGCCTGCCTCTCCTGTCAACACACAGCACACAGAGTGAAGTGCCTTTTATTTCCTCCATTTACTTTCATGAAGAGCAATTCATGTGCAGGGTCACTGGGATTTATACAAACTTTTATTACCATGTACCACAAGTTATGTTTACCGTAAGGCACAACCACAATGACCTCACCAAATTAAACAAGTGCAATGTGCTGTGTATGAGAATTAATCTTGGTTTATATGGTGTTATATACAGGGCATAGTGCTAACCCACAATAAATCGCCCTGCCACAATATGCTGACAGGGCTAAAGAGCATTCTCTAGTGAGTGGAGAGGAAAACCAGCCCACAAGTCATACAGCAGAGGACAACACACTTCCTCTGAGCACAATGCTCTCAACTGCCACTGGCTTTCAATGGTTTCCTGGAATGAGAGGCAGAGTGATGGGCTATGATTTGAGTCACAGCTAAGGTGGGAAAAGAAATGGCTGAGACTGATAGGCCATCACAGTCCAGAGGGCAGTAAAGCCAGTGTCCTTTAAATGAGAACTGAGGCCTCATGACTAGCTTCGTTCATTCTCACTGCACTTTATGGCTCTTACAGTCAGGAGTGATTATGATGCTGGGGTTAACGTAGCGTGAAATAACTCTGAGGGGTTGTGCATGAGTGTGATTAGGACAGTGTGCACCAATGCCTTTCACTCCGGAAGTGACTGCATTGTATGCGAGTGAGGATGTACATGTGTTTTCTTACTGGATTGAAGAGTTCAGTGGTCAGTCCCAGGTAGTTATGCAAAGCAAGGAAGGTCACTCTCTGCAGCCGCACCATGATTATCTGAACAGTCAGAGCCACAACAAACAAAGGGCAGTTTTTGTTATTATTATCTATTATTAGCACAAACGCATCTTTACTTGTTCAATTCTTTGAGCCCTGGAATTAATCCTAACATGTTCATACAGGTTTGATTATTTCGGTCTGTACTTTTCACATCAGAGACCATCCCTTATTTATTTAATTTCCAGTCAAAATGACCATTAAGAACACGTTATTAATTTTTCAGGAGATATTTTTGAAGACATTGAAGACAATGCATGTGCATAAAAAAGGAGAAAACCAAAACTGGAGCTCAAAAAAACATACAAAAAAAAAAGTGACTCCGAGCAAATATCCAAGACCTGGTAGACCACCAAAACTGTCTGCATCAGATAAACAGAACTTTATCTACTTTCATCTTTGAGGGGAAAATCAAGCTCCACTTGGTTTCAGATCTGAAAAGAAATTCACAGATCTGTCCATCCTTCTACTGTGAGAAGACAACTCAACGCTATGGGTCTGAAAGGAATACTGAATACAGGAAATGGTCAAAAAAGTAAAAGCACTGTCCACTCCAAAGTCCAGACCTCAACATCACCAAATGTGTTTGAGATTACTTAGATAATAACAAGAAAAAAATACAACCAACTTCTAAGACTAAACTTGAAAAACAAGTCTCTGAAAAAGAATAAGCATTCCAATTAAAACACAGGTGAATGTTCAAAATACTGGAAATTTTAATATTTTCTAAAAAATCTTTTAAATAAAATTAAAGAAATAAAAGGTTGGTCTCTGTACTGCACATGCTATACCATCAGCACCTCTATTGATGGGGGTGCTGTGGCATGTCTCAGTGTGAGTGAGGGCTGAGCCTGTACCTGTATAACCCTCACTAGCGTCTCCGGGTATTTTTCAAACACCGACTGGAAAGCTGAGGCAGGCAGGCGCAGGATAGTGGAGCGCACTGCTGCGCGAGCCGACACCGTCTTATACGGAGCAGGATAACCCTGGGGAACGAGAGAGCGAAGGAGGAGGATGAAAAAGAGGAAAGAAGGATTAAGAATTAAGTTCTCTGCGCTGGAGTTAGAAGAAGGAATGAGGGAGAGAGAGTAGAGACAGAGATATAGAGACTCACCGTAATGATGTCTAGAATGCTAAGCAGGCTGTGAACACTGTCTCCGGGCAGCACATCCTTCACCACAGGGTCTGTTCCATCCTACCAGGGAACACAAAATCATCCAAACACAAATATGACAAAAAGCTCATTATCTGTAGGTGTGACAGAGTGTGTGCAAGTTAGCTTTCTAGAGAATATTTTTGTTGTATGTTCACATATGGTCATTACCGAAGACTTAAAACACATTTTTCTAGTTTTCTTTGGAATAAAAGAGTTTAACATGTGTACAGTTCACATATGAAAACTGTGCTATATATAAATGCCAGACAAATGTAGGATATGGGCCCTTTAAGCAGGCTTGTACTGTAACACAACATGGGGCACAAAACAAATCCTCAAATGTTATACAACAAAGTGACTCAGCAATTTCAAAAAATGCCTGGGGTTGTGGATCTATGCAAGGTGCTGTTTTTTCTCACATTTTCATGAATGCACAGCTCCAGTCTTCCATCCTGGACCACATAAATGCTGTCATCATCATCTCCTGGTCTAAAGAGCCCCTCGCCCTCCTGCAGCTCAATGAACACCATGTGTCGACAAAGCTCCAAGAACAGCGGCTTTTCAAAGTGACCTAGCACCCTGACACACACACACAACTTCACAGTTACAACACATTTCACCTACTTTGCCCAGGTAGCAGTCATATGAGCTACATAAATCGTATGCGGTGTGTCCTAATAATTTCCCCTTTACATCTGTGTGTGATTGGATTTGATATAATTTTCTATGGAAAACATCTGTACAAAACATCTTTTGTCAGATGTACTCACCTGACATTCTTAAGCATATAAAGCACTTCAGAGGGCAAATTTGAGTTCTGCACATCAAACTCTGTGAGATCTGCTTCCAGTAGAGAGGGAGGGGGCTCTTTGGGCTGCAGAGTTGGGGGCTCCTTCCTTATCCGCAAGATCCTGCACAACACAACGCCACAGTATGGCTTAGTCACACACCACTGAACAGCGTTCCAAGCCTGAATAACACACCATTCTAAAAACAGGGTCATACCAAAGCCAACAGTCACTTGTCTATGTTTTTTTTAATTGTCATTTGTCTATGTTCCAGTAACACGTTGCTGTCAGAGTGACATACACACCCAAAAAAAAAAAAAGTTATCAAAAATTAAGTATTAAAAATAAAAAAGTGTATTAAATTAATACCTGCGAGCTATGCTTAGGACTTTAGGTCTCTTCCGTAGGCGCTGCTTAGAAACTGAGTTAGACGATGGGGTAGAGGACAGAGTCTGGACCTAAAAGAAAAAGAGGGCAAAAGAGAGTGAATAATCAAATACGCAGCAAACCACATGCATTGCGTGTATTCCAGTCTGCTAATGTCACATAAAACATGGAATGCTGCCATCTTGTGGCCAAAAATAGTTAACATAGTTAACATAGTTAAATAGTTAGAAATCTGAAAAGTATTAAATGATTTTAGAGCTTTCAGACTGAACTGCAGATTTGTCACAGACTTTGGAGGAAAAGTGTAGTTCAGAATGAGAGGCAGGAAAGATCTATCAGATAACTAACTGAGAAACAGGCTCAGGAACCACAATGCAGGTCATAGTGGGAAGCTTTGTGTGATGACTGACCTTTCTCATGATCTTCCTACCATAGAAAAGAACCTTGTCCCTCTTTCTGAAGCGATATCGAGGGGTACCTGCCTGCTGACCTGCAAAATACATAGCAGAGTACAGAATATATTATTTTAAAAACAGTGTGATATAGCAACATTATTTTATTATTTAATCTCTGCCACATTTTGAAAAGGCAAATGAAAACTTTTAGTCCAATGACTTTTCAAATTTAACATTTGCCAACAACAGAATGTGTAAGAAAGGACAGGAAAAAAGTTTAAAAACAAAAAAGTTGGCAAAACAAGCTGACATTCAATCAGCTACTTGTTACTTAGTTGCTACCCACTGGTAGCTGTTTACACAGGCTCTCCTTTACTGGCTTAAATCTAGTGTTTTAGACGCAGCCCATTTAGGGTTGAGCAATATATGTTAAATAACGTCACAATATGCTTTTCTGAGCATACTGTGAATATCACTAGTACCTAAAGATACTTTCCAATTGCATGTTTGACTACAAAGATAGCATAATTAGTCCTGTTTAAATGGATTTACTGTGGTGCAGCAAATGTTGAATACAAATAATTGAGAACTTTTTTTACGTTTTAACATATCGCCCACCTCTATGGCCTTTCATGATTTAGATAAAAGTTGGGACAGTATGTGAAATGCTAATAAAAACAGAAAACAGTGTTTTTTACAGAAGCATGTTTATCGCTGTGTTACAGCACATTTCCTTTCAACAACAATAATTGTTTGAGAACTGAAGACACCAATTGATCCAGTTTTGAGCGGAATTTTGTTCCTACAGGTCATGTGCAACTATACAGGACCTTAGCTGACATGATTTACGCTTCATTATGTGCCAAATTTTTTAAAAATAAAAGACAGGTCTCGACTGTGGGCAGGCCAGTCTAGCAGACGCACTCTCAGATTACTATACATATATTTACACAAATACTTCTAAATAAAATACGATATATGGGCGATATGACATATGGATGAATGCTTTAATTAATCAGTCATTTTACACTTCATAAGGTAACGAAGATGAATTCAAGGACGTGAACAACTTACATTTTAAAACAAACTCTGCTCCAATGGCTTTGTTTTCAGTCATTTTCGCGGTGCTGTTTTTTTTTCCTCCTCGTCGTTAGTGCGCAGAGAACTACGGGTAACCGAAGATCGGGATGGATACATCTGTTGCATCCTCGAAATCACTCAGAACGTAGGCTGCATTTCTATGCTGTATACGCAGGGTCCTTCACTTGGGAACGGCCTTCTATGAGGTAGCGGCCGAGAAACGCAGTCTAGGCTTTAGAACACAGCTTTTATACTCAAGCATGTTTACAGCGCCTGTTTAAGATGTTTCTCGATTTCACAATGTTCCCAGACGTAACCACAACCTTTTTTTATAAATACTGTCTCTGTACTTTTCATTTTAATACAGGTCAAAGTGGATTTACAAATCACTGTTCCCGTATTTATTCGCATTTCACATACTGTGCCAACCTTTTTGGAACTGAGGTTTGTCCATAATACTGGCCACCACACCCAGTTTAGAAACAAGGAGAGCTTTCACTAGGTGAGGCTGTACAGATCAAGGTTTTGAACTAGAGCTCAAACTTACTTGCGAGTTTGTATCTGCGATACAGGAAGAGCACAGAGATGCCTATTAAGCACACGGCCACCACGGCCCCAATCAACATGCCCGTCAACTGCAACAAAGAGCAGAATTTACAGTGTTATCCAGTTGCAGAGGCTTCTTAGAAAACAATCAAACAAAAAGCATTATGTGCTTGTGATAAATCTGATGTGCTGTTATCTGCAGTAATCAGTGAGTGCAGTCAATGATTTACTGTAGCATTAACTGATCAGCAATTCTAGCTCCCAAAAGGGAAAGTCTGTGTAATGGAGATGGACTACGGTCAGAGAGATTTGATACCATGGTGGTTTGCATCCTCTCCTCCACAAACACCTGCAAGCGGGCACGAAAGTCACTCCCAGGTATGATCTGGAGCAAAACACATCAACATAAATAGTTCAGTATTTCAAATGTTTAATTATTAACCCTTTTATCCCTTACAAACGAACAGGCTGTTTTCGTTACTGTGTCTTTAAGAATGATATGTGTAAATGGCCGTCGTTCTGAACAGCTGTCCTATATCATGCCTCATTCAAAACGCAGTCCAGGCTGAAATGTATCGATGTGTGAGGTTCAAACTGAAATTCTCAGGATGGTCAGAACCGCAATCGCTTCCTGACAGCCAGGAACAGCACAACGTTTAATCTTTTTCTACTCCAATAATTCGGCAGACCATCTGCAGTAACAACACTATCACTTCAACACAAATTCATAAGTAAATGTGTTTGTGGTTCAGCCAATCATAACCATGATTAATTCGAAGCTTGCTCTTATGTGTGGTCTGTACGTGCTGGGGATTGCATGGTACGTTTCATAACTTTTAACAATGTTTCCATAGTGCATCAGAGGACATTTTGTTTTCTCCATGATCGAGGGACTTTAATCTCCTGAGCTTCACGTTTCAAAGCCTCTGAGGCCTCTTTGAAGCCAAATAACAAAAATAGTTGTCTTTGAACAACACCACAGAAAATACTTCACTCAAGGAAACAATTTCTTGCTCAGCCAGTTTCCTTCCTGCTTTCAGGAGAGGCACAGCAGCCCTCTCAAAAACACACAATCTTACATTTGTTTAAAGAGGCAATATAATATCATATAATACGATACAATACAATATAATATAATATAATACAATATATGTATTGACATGTATTTTCTTGAGGCAAACCTCACAAAAATATTTCTGGAATCTGAGAACGTAAATCTGTCATTGATCTGCCTGGATATGCAGCACATACATAAATAAACCTGTCCATTAAAGAATCAGCTGAATTGAGGATTACTTACTGGATAAGTGCATTGGTCCTCGCTTGGTTCTTCTGATTCACCCATTTCTACAAGCAGAGAGAGTCCATAATGACATTTTGTTTTTCACAATCTGGTAATAACAGGAGCTAAACTACATTTTACATTTCTAGCTTTAATTGACATTACACGGAAACTTCACCAATCTTTCAAAATTTCCGCATCATTAAATGGTTAGCATGTAAACAAACAAGTGTTTTGGTGTGAAATGCTCTGTTCTGGAGAAACTTAAGAGAGTCAGAATTTTTCACAATGATGGTGATATTTCATAGTGGTGGCAGATGTCTGAAGAGTTTAATGCCTCTAAAAGCTTTTGCATAAAATGGTTATGAATAATAATCCTGACATCTGCGACATAGTTTTACAGTAGGTTAGTGATAAAGTTTTTCTGTATTTTAAATGTATTTTAATCAAAATATTTTAATCCATTCATGGCGGAGGAATACATGCAGGGTATTGTGAGGCGAAACAGCCTCGCAGCCTCAACTTGTTATTTCAGATTTTCCACTATTTTACCATCATTAACGTTACATTAAAAAAAAACTCGCACGTGCAAGTTTACTGGTGGTTTTGGATAGTAAATAAAACGTCTATTGTAAAGAAAACTGAGTCAGTAAGTTTCTCTGCAAATGAACCAATTCACATCAAACCAGTCTGAATGACTGTTTATACTTCAACCACTGAACTGCACAGAAATTTTGAAAAATCGGTGGATTTCCCCTTTAATGCAGGCTGATAGATGATTTACAGGCAGTGTCATATGCGGCACGGTGCCACAGTGAATTTATCCCTATCCTGTGGATATGAACTGCAGTTTAGTTTGCGTGTTACTAATCAATGTGCATCTTACACGATGTTGTAAAACGATTAAACGTTAAGGGCTTCATTAGTGTAGAGCTGAACTGCCGAGGTGGACAGCTAACGTCATCGTAACTGCCCATAACTGAAGATAAGGCTTTTTGCCATGCTTTACTTTAGCTAGCCAACTATTTCTAAACACTTTTAACACATTAAGTGAAGTGGAAGACGCAAAATATCCAGCTAGTTTGTGAGCTGGCTACCTGTCAAACACAGTAAATGCATTAGCTAGTCAGCTAGTTTGCTAAACTGGCTGCAGAACACTGACAGCTCGGCGTGTAAGACAGACTGGAAACCTCTAACACATTAATTCAGAGATTACAAGCAACATATTTCACACATACACAGCGAACGCTTACTTGTACAACTTCTGAATGTCCTTCTGAACTTCACTTCATTGTAAACTTTTCCAGGCTGCTCTCCTTCCCTACACACTCAACACCCTCTGCAGTGCTGGAGGTCTCAGTATGCTATGTGACTATTGGTTGTTTACTCGCGCACAGAGAGGATCCATAATGCCATAGATTATCTAAAGAAGCCGAGAGCCGCCATGTCATAATATTTCCGGGAACGCAATCACGTGGTGTTGGTGAACGGAAGAGGGGGGCGCTCATTCCCCACTTAAGCAGACTACAGTGACTCGAGCCTCCGTTCAAACAAGCGGGAATTCTGCCCATTTCACTAAACTTTAGCGATTATTTCACCCCGTTTATAATTACAGCAACGTTGTGGTAATTTATGTCATTGTGAGGGTCTTGTGAGTATTTTGAGCCTAAACATGTTTCCCGGTGGGCTAATTTTAAGAACGAAATCATCTTGTTTCGAGTTTGTTCAGCGCTCTGTCCAGTCTTTCAGCACAAGCTGCTGCTGTTGCCCCGGGAGACGGGGGCGGGGCGAAGCGGCTGACGACAGACTTAACTCCTTTTCGCCCCATTCACTTGAACAGTCATGTGCCGTCTACGTTATATTACTTATAATTTTTGTACGAGCCAGCCAGAGGCGCTGTTGTTTGGCTGCACCCAGTTTGGCATAGTTCTTTGACAGCAAAACGAGATGAGATAGATCAAATGTAAAAACCCAAGAATGTCCAGCCTGGCTGAATAAATACATTAAAAAGGGTGTAAATGGAAAATAAAGATAGAAGTAGCCTAACTCAACTCACATAACCAGCAAACAAAGCAGGTTATAACTGTACAGAGCTTTTTTTTCACAAAAACAATAGGTCACAACATTTCAAAGTCATGCAGTTTTATTTCACACACTGTAAAATGTCACAATGAAAACATAATTTCACTCTGTAAATTGTACAAATGTTTGATTCCACAAAGACAATGTACATGTGGGTCAAAAGTAATATATAACATAACATAAAGGGACAAAGTATTGGAACAATGGTACAAATCAAAACAAGAAAATAATATTCACAATGCACATAGTGTAATTCTGTAGAAAAACAGCCTCCACCCTCACAACCCAGATGATATGCTACCCATGTTATTATGTATACATTAATTTTGCCTTCGAGCTTTCTCAGAACCATTCCCTTCCCAAACCCTACCCATCTCCTCCTGTGCTCAATCTAGTTCTACTTGTTGAGGTATTTGGCCACTGACTGGTAGGCCAGGAGGATCTCAGAGTCGTTGGGGCATGTGCAGCGGAACTCGTCCCGCTGGTAGGCTTTCTCCAGGTACTTGGTCAGACCTTTGAGTGCTTCTGGGATCGCAAAGTCACGATATTTCTTACATACAACCTGAGGAAAGAAAGAAAGAAAGGAAACAGCACGTTAACACAATAGATCCAGTGCAGTCCTCCAACAACAACCTCTATATAGTTGGCTGTTGTAACAGCAGCTGGATGGGGACTTGGTTGCTGTAAATATTGAATGTGCATTATGCAGACCTTTCATCCTCTGCCACATACTGACCCTACTGCATTTGCTATAACGGTATAGCCAAGAAACCAGGCCTTGGCTCTAATGAACACTGTAACTATAGACTGATTTCTAGGAGTGTAGTAGTGAAATCCAGGCAGTCCTGGGGGGATAGAGACATAGAGAAAAAGGGGTTGACAGACATAGGGTGTTTGAGAACCTTGACAATATGTAGCTTGGGGAGAAGGTTGCAGTCGGCGAGAGTGAAGGAGTCCCCGTCTAGATATTGTCTGGTTGACTGGGATGCATCAGGGTTCTGGTCCAGCTCGTATGGAAGTGGGGTGAGCAAGTACTGATCCAACTTCATCAGACTCTTCAGAAATTTCTTTTCCAGCACTGGAAATACATACAATTACAGGTTTGTTGGCATATGAAGGCTTGTGATGTGCACAAAGAAAGATGGGATGGTACAGCATGCAAAACAGTTCTCACTGTCATTGAGTCCAGGATTTGGGTTTTTGATGTAAGCAGAGAACTTGTGGAAAATGTCGTCACCAGCACGGTTAGACTCCTTATAGCGACAGCACAGCTTGGGATATCTGTAAATACAAACGTTTCATGTGATTATGTATCAGTAGAGTCTGAATTCTTGGGAAGATTAAAGTGTTATTCACCAGGAATGTCAATGCAGTTTGTAAATGCATTTATATTTCTGGTTAATAATAACACATATTTTCTGCATTAACACTCACTGTGGGGGTGCTAAGGTCTCCTCCAGAAACTCCTCTATCTTGTTAGTGTCAGTGTGCACATCTCCGTTATAGATGAGAAAAGGGGGCTGAGAGCCTGGAGCCAAGTCCTTCAGGACCTCTGGAGCTCTACAGAACAAAACCACAGAAGATCAAAAGGTAAAGTTCTAGTATAAACTAACACCAACTTCTACGATCATCAGTGCATGAAGACAATTGTGTTCGGCCCTTAATCACTTGCTTACTGATGATATATTACTTCTGTGTCTCTCTCACCTCTTCATATCCACAGTAGTGAGGGTGAAATTACCTCCCTTCAGCCAGAGAATCATAAAAAGCCGCTGACAGAATGGACAGTTGCCGACCCCTTCACCATCATCACTTGCCTGTGGTAACAGAACAGTAATCTCTTAAAATCAAGCCCCGTTTCAAAACAAATTCAGAAAATAAAAGACTTAACCACTAAAATAAATCATTTGAAGAAACCCATGTTACAGATAAAACATAAATATGTATTCCATAATACCATAATATATTCATTGGCTTTACTATGGATGTAAATGGATGTGCTTAAAGGAATAGTTCCTTTAATGACCATGTCCAATGGACACAATGGACACAATTTCTCGCTTTCCACAAACACAGTTGATTGGCTAAGACATGTTTGGTGTCCAAAGTTTGGGGCAAAGTTTTGTTGAAAGCTATGAGGTTAATATATAAAAGTTTATGTCACCTAGAATGTTCTCTGGCTACGTAGACCTCCATTACGTTTAGTTATATTAGTACATTAGCTCATTAGTGTAAAACTAAATAATGTCTTAGGCACTTAATATGTTTGAAATAGAAAATTTTTAAGCAACCCATTCCTTTAATCCCTTCCGTTGCACGAGTCACTTTTCTCCAGTAAAAGGGTGTGACCAGTGTGAGACTCCACGTTCTTTGGGTTTTTCTGTTTTGTGTTTTGTTTCTGGTAGGGTTCAGTGATTCCAGTCACTAGTGGTGTAGATTATCAGTAGAATTCCGTCACAAGTATGTCAGGAAGTGCAAGCATGTATACCAGAGGCCAAAGCACAGGACAAACCAAACTGAAGTCTGTAGTCTGAACAAGCCTCAAATCTTTGTCCCTCTTTTTAAAATGAGTCACTCAGTTACATTTAGTAACGCGCTGCAAGTGATTAATCAAAACTACCATAAATATCATCATTAAAAACACAATCAATTTGCTAGACTTACTACACTGTAACAACAGGGAAGTGATTGTCTTCCAAACTGCACTGATTTTGAATGTCAACCAGAAATGCCTTGCAATAAGTTAAGCTCTGACCTTAATGAAGAGCTCCATCTTTGGTGCTTCTGCCATCTCTCTCTCGTCCTCTGTAGTCTTTCAGCTGTCAAACCTCAATCTCCTTCACTAGCCAACCCAGGGGCGATGTTTACATCACTTTGTTAATAGGTGTGGATAACCAGGTATGTTAAATTGCTGTGGCCTCTCCAAGAGTAGTCCTTCTGGATCAGTATGTCCAAAAATCGAACAGCACTTCTCCTTCAAAGCAGTAAACAAGCTTTTACTATCCCAGTCCACGTCTTTCTCTCCTTTTCTCTCGCTTTCTTGACAGTTTCTATCTCTTAGCTTCCTATCTATCACCACACCCCATGAGTCTTGAGCATTCAGAATACCTGGACCGACCTGTCCTACCTGTCTCTCAATATCTCTTGGTAAAGTCACAGACATGTTTCAAGACTTATCAGCACTCCTGCTGTTTCACTCCCAGTTGTCTCCACCATCCACACACTGACAAAACCAGACTATGGTGACTGCAATGGCACTGTCCTAATTGTTAGTACTCCTTACGTATGTCAAAATCTTGCATTTCTTATGCTATAAGAGGTGAATTAGGAGGTCTTTGACCCCCCAGTACTCCCTGTATTTCACACCTTGGTTACACACCTACAAATCAATCGACAGTTACAGTGTTCATTACAGCCAAGGCCTGAGTTCTTGAGAAGTGCAGTCACTGGCTCACCATTTAGGGTCAAATGAACCAAATCAGTCTCAAGGCATTTGTTAATTAGTTCACAGGGGTTGCAAGCAAGTATATAAGGGTTATATAAGGGTTAGGCTTAAAAAGGCTGGCATCCAGTATAAGTAAACACAAACTGGGCCAAACTGCAGCCCAAATACTGGCCAAATTCACTGTCACTGTACGATATCAGGTGGAATCTCTGGAGGCAGAACGTCCAGTGATGAACTTGGTCCCTGACAATCATCCCTACTTATGAAAACTCTGAAAATAAATACATAAAAAATTTAACAGTTAGACCCCATCTCCCAAATCATTAACAAATGCCCTGAGACTGGTTTGGTTCATTTGACCCTAAAAGCTGAGCCAGTGACACCTCTTCTCAAGAACACAGGCCTTGGCTGTAATGAACACTGTAACTGTAGATTGATTTCTAGAGGCGTAACCAAGGTGTGAAATACAGGGGACCTGGGGGGTCCAGGACCTCCTATGTAATCACTTGGACCCCATGAATCTCTCAAAATCAGGTTATTGTTTAGCTGCTTCAACGATAATCAGCAAGCTTGTATCTGTCTTTGGTATTCTTGGCTAACTAGAGATGCAGCCCTGGTCTGCCTCAGGGTGGCACTGTAGCAGAAAGGCTCACCCAGCTGGTCCTTCATAGCCTGTAATTATGCCCAGGATACCTCTGTATAACTTTACAATGTGCCATGGCGTATTTGTAAATCGGAAAACTCGCCCAGTTTCCCAAGAGTTTGGTGGAAAGAGTGTATTGTTACTCATTTCTCAAACCGAAGGCACAAGAGGAGATGTATAAAATATCAATTAATGTGTGGAAGGCCAAACTAGGAAAAAGCATTTCTAAAAGAAAAGTTGTTAAACCAAACATTTTGTTGCCATTTGTTGCTGGCATCAGTGCCACTATGGCGAGTGTGTTGGCATGCTAGATTAGCCAACACATGCTAGATTAGCCAACCAGTATTGGACCCCCTGAATACCAGTGTGTATTTTACACTGGGTGTAACGATTCTGAAAGCAAGACTGAAACCGTGATTCCACCCCTTCCAATACCAACCGTCTGCCATTGCTGGTGCAGCCTGCTGAGCTCTCATTATGTTATTAATGTATTTCACAATTAACACTGTAACATGTAAATCACAAAATTATTATTCTGTTCAAAGGAAGGGCATGCTGCTACCATGTTTTTAGTGCCTTTCTCTTTACTGTTCTAAATTGTTGGTGATTTAATTAAAAAACCCAGAATTTTTTTCCCTGTTTTTCTCTGTTTCCCCCCCCCCACCAAAAACAAAACAGAACAAGACAAGAAAGGAGGTATGATCTAAACCATGGCTCAGAAATCAAGGTCTGAACCAAACTGTGGATTTGGAGAATCATTACAACCCTATGACTTCTAATATCGCATTTCTGTCCAAGCTGTTGGAAAGTGTGGCTGCTTCTTAACTGCAAAGTGATCTTATCAACTCCATTCTTTGTGAACCTTTCCATCATATTTCTGCCTTTTGCACTGTACTGAGACTGCTCCTGTCAAACCTGCTGACACTTGTGCCCTCACCATACGTATTCTTTTAGATCTCAGGGCAGCTTTCAATACAGTTGGTCATGACATTTCTCTCTTCCCTCTTTCATTCATTGTAACTTCTGGCATGGCTTATGTTTTGGTTTAAGTACTATATATCTTTCTGGTACATCTTATCTCATGTTCATTAATCCTGCACTGCCACTGTAATACAAGGTGTCCCTCAAGGATCAGTCCTTGGTCCCCTCTTTTTGTATGCTTCCCCTTGGCCAGTATGGGAGGCAAATCCAGCCAAAAAAGAAATTAAAATTAAAACAATAAAATGTAAATTCAAACCTGTTTTTGCCATTTCTTTTTCCAAACATCTGCACAAATATCCTGCCAAAATTGAAAATGAAATGAAATACCTACATTTGCAATTTCATTTTTCACATGAGCACGAGCTATTTGTGACAAAAATAAAAATAAATTTAAAACTGCTATTTGTCATTTCATTTTAGTCGTTATTCTGACATTTCATGGCCAAATCTAAAATGAAAAAGCTAATAGAGAAAACAAAATCTTTCAAGACAATCTTTCAACAACTACGCAACATCGCCCAACTTCAACATTTACTTCAGAAAGATGGTGAAACTCTCGTTCATACTTTCTTAATCTCGCACTTTCACAACTGCAATTTCCCTTTTATCAGTTTTACGTGCACTTTTTCAAAATTCAGCTGCAAGAGTCCTTATTCTCTACTAAGCATCTAGCACGTACAGCACTCCATCAAGTACACTGGCTTCCTGTTTCACAACAAATAAAATATAATACCCTGTTTCTCACATTTAAATAATTTAACAGTCTCACTGGCATGGCTTTTCATACTCTCACGTCCACCAGTACTGGTCTACTGATGGTTCCTAAGACCAGACTGATCTAAATTCATCTTTCGTCATCATTGTACCTCTCACAATTGTAGTTGTAGAGATATTTGAATCAGACAGATGTTGAGATTTAATCAGTATTTCATACTGATATTTGTATCTGTATTTATGGTAATCAGGAAGAACATTATGTACATCAAAAATATCTGACCTTGGTGACGGTGCACAATTCCCATAACAGGTCACTGTTGATACTAGAATGCCTCTGATGTTACAGAGCTGAAAGCCATACTTCAAGGTGCAGCATTTTTTTTTAAACAGTAGATGTGCTAATTATGCAGAGCATAAACAGGACACAAGGGTGTGAATGAGTAAGGTGTGACAGTCTCAGTGAGAGACACATTATTATGACATTTAAGTTCTGTTATCTGAACAGCTACGTGCAAGCAGCAACATGCATGGCTCAAAGTTATGATAGATATTAATTACTGCTTTTTGTGTAGCTACAATAAAGAAAAGCTCTACCCACTTAACTGAGTACATTTTCTGTCCCAGGGTGGCAAATCTCTTCTGTTACAGCAGCAATACAGCCAAAATCCATAAAGACCCCTGTTGTCCAGAAAAGACTTAGGCCTAAATATCAATCCTTAAACAATTTTACTGAAGGCCACAGGCCAGGCTTTATAAACTCATGACTGCAATGGGTTCATTCTACCATTGTGGGGGAAAATAGAGTTTCACAACTTTAACCCCTTCAATTCCAAGGCTTATAACCTCCTAAGGTTGTGTGCTCACTGTCCCCTAGTGTGTGTGTTCACTAGTGTGCTTATTATCCTGTAACAACATGAAGAACAATGCAAACTTATCCGTAAAGGGGAATTCCACCAACGTTTTAAACATTTCTGCATAATCAATCATTAGGAGATAAGCAAAGTCATGCTGAGCGGTTTACTGTAAAATGCACGGTTTTAGAGAAATGTCAGAATTCAATGCATCTAAAAGCTACTCCACAGAAAACCATTAAACAAAATGGTTGCCTGATAGCTGAGATATTGTTTTTCACAAGCTTTGAGATATGGTGCACACATGCACTGTGAAAGAAAAACAGACCCCAAAGAAAACGTGTAGCATTAGCACAATAGAAATCAAGGAACGCCTTGTGCATTTGGGAAAATGCCCTTTTATTTTGAGCAGGCACTTCAACCAAGGCAGAGAAATGCTCAGTCCAGTGCTGCCCCAACATGATACATGAGGAGGGAGTAATGCAGGAGGACATGACATACGAGGAGGGTGGACAAACTCACACACAAAAGCCCACCCTCCCCAAACACAACTCAATAAGCAACAACTACTTCAACAAATGCCCCTTTTCAGCACTAAGCTCCCCACGACAGCACGGCGCGTGGCAGATGCCACAATATACAACCCCATTTCCAAAAAAATTGGGACGCTGTGCAAAATGTAAATAAAAATAGAACGCAATGATATGAAAATCATGTAAACCATACTTTTTAAAGGAAATACTACAAAGACAACATACCAAATGTTAAAACTGAGAGATTTTATTGTTTTTTGAAAAATATATGCCTATATTAAATTTGATGCCAACCACATGTTCAGAAAAAGTTAGGACGGGGGCATGTTTACTACTGTGTTTCATCACCTCTTCTTTTAACAGCACTCTGTAGGCGTTTGGGAACTGAAGAGTTAATAACTTTTCCCGTTATGGTTTGATACAAGATTTCAGCTGCTCAACAGTTCAGGGCTCATTTGTCATATTTTTCATTTCATAACCCTCCAAATGTTTTCAGTGGTGACAGGTCTGGACTGCAGGCAGGTCAGTTTAGCACCCGGACTCTTTTAATACGGAGCAATGCTGCTGTAATACATGCAGAATGTGCTTTGGCTTTGTCTTGCTGAAATAAGCAAGGCCTTCCCTGAAAAAGACGTTGTCTGGATGGCAGCATATTTTGCCAAAACCTGTATATATCATTCAGAATTAATGGTGCCTTCACAGATGTGTCAATCACCCATGCCATGTGCACTAATGCCCCCTATACCATCATGAATACTGGCTTTTGAACTGTGCACTGATAACAAGCTGAGTGGTCTTTAGCTCGGAGGACACATAGTCCATGATTTCCAAGAAGAATTTCAAATGTTGATTTGTCGGACCACAGAGCACTTTTCCACTTTGCCTCAGTCCACTTAAAATGACCTTGGGCAGGTGGCAGTATTTCTAGATCCTGTCTGTGTACAGTTTCTTCTTTGTGTTTTTCACTGAGTTTCACTTGCATTTGTGGATGTAGCGACGAACTGTGTTCACAGACAGTGGTTTTCAGAAGTGTTTCTGAGCCCATGCAGTGATTTCCACCACAGAATCACGTCTGTTTTTAATGCGCTGCTGCCCGAGGGCCCAAAGATCACAGCCAGCAAATACTGTTTTTTGGTCTTGTCCCTTACATACAGGGATTTCTCCAGATTCTCTGAATATTTTAATGTTATTATGTACTGTAGATTATGAAAAGCTAAAGTTGTTTGATGTTTTACGTTGAGAAACGTTATTCTTGAATTGTTGCACTATTTGCCCACACAGTCTTTCACAGAGTGGTGAACCCCTCCTCATCTTTACTTCTGAAAGACTCAGCCTCTCTGGGATGCTCTTTTATACCCAATCATGTTACTGACCTGTTGCTAATCAACCACCAGGTGTTTTTTTTAGCATTACACAACTTAACCAGCCTTTTGTTGCCCCTGTCCCAACTTTTTTGGAACGTGTTGTTGGCATCAAATTCAAAATGGGCAAATATTTTTCAATAAACAATAAAATTTCTCAGTTTCAACATTTGATATGTTGTCTTTGTACTATTTTCAATGACATAAAAACTCAAAAGACGTGTAAGTTCACTGGTGGTTTTGGATAGCAAATAAAATGGCTTTATTTGTGCTGCAGACATGGCCACCCCTGGTTTCTGTCACCACCACTGTTAAAAACATCTGAGTCATTTTCTCTACAATTCACTATTTTTCATGAAACCACTCTGAATGACTTTGGTCTAACCACTAAATTATGCAGAAATTGACAAAAGATTTGAATGGAAAGCTGGACCAACTGACAGCTCTTGGTAATTTAAAAGGTTACAGCAATTAAAATGAGCTCAAAATAAGAATAAACCAGAGAGCTATATCTGTGTGTTCTGTGTTCTATTTACTGGTTGTCCCTTCCAGGTAATGTCATGTCAGTGGGGTTACAGAAACATTAAATGTCATAGTAAAAAAAAACCTTTTCTTCCTCTTTGATGACTTGTACGGATATCCGAGGAAGAAAGACTAAATTTGAGAAGTTCACAGTTAGTTAAATCTTTTTTATATTTCTGATTAATTTGACCAAAATGCTGACAGCTTCATGTGCCACAAAAAGACTGTGTGAGCGGTTTTACTCTTGAAACATGATTTGAAAACTGAAATAAAATAACAACATGAATTCAATATTTGTAACTTTCTACATACAGTGTGACTCTGTTAGTGGTGTTACTACTTCTACTCACTATAACAGACTACATTTTACACTTAAATTACATACAAACACTTATACTCCATTTGCCACTGCGATGTTAGAATGCCCCAATGACAAAATGAACCAAACTGTGACACGCCTATTGGGTATATGCTTAGTAAGTTCAGGAATGAATACTAAAGAGAAACACTTTTTAACACGAGCTGTGTGATGTACTCAGAGGCACTCACTCAAAACAAAACTTGTTCATAGGTTAAAATGCCAAGGCGGGGCTGATCATACATACACTACAGACCTACTGAGTTTCTCTATGTCTGTATTTAGAACATCTAATGTAGCAGCACTGCATCGAGCTGAGACTGATTTAATTATAGCACGGCTAAAAGTATAAACCAAGTGGTTTGCATAAGACCTCACTTAAGACTGGAACGAAGAGTTCTTCACTTTAAGAAAAGTTGAAAGCTGATTTTGCATTTTATATCAACAATAAAAGATGCCACAATACCACTTTTTCTTTACCGATACTGATACCAACATCAATAACTTAAATATTGGCCCAATGTTTCTTTGTTAAAAAATACAAAAAAAGTAATTCACTTCACCTAAGAGGAGCATCTAAAAGTAGGCTGTCACACTTAAACTACACAAACACTATACTACTCCACTACTCTTGCAGGGCAAAACGGCATCTCATATCAAGTTCGTCTGGGACAACCATAAGAATAAATAAAGAATAAAGAAGTAAAAAGGGTTTGATTCCCTGGCCCAGGTGATCAGGGCCCTTTCAGTGTGGAGTTTGCCTGTTCTCTCTGTGTCTGTGTGGGTTTCCTCCCACAGTCCAAAGACATGCAGTCAGGCGAATTGAAGATGCTAAACTGCCCCTACACAAGGTACAAAACTGTCACTGGTGCAGTTACCTCTATTGTCACTGGGGTGGCAGCCTCAAGGGTACATCTCAGACTCCACACACCCCATCTTGTCTCAAGGCTTTTTATTTTATTGTTCTGTTTTAAAACATTAGGTTATGAAAAGGTACAAATATGTCATTTTCCAATGAAAAATTTATTGAAGGTACACAATCTGACCTTAAAACCACTGTTGTACCTTTGAGGGTAGATTTACATTGTTTGTACCTTGATGAACAAAAATGTACCTGCACAGAACCTTTATTTCTAACAGTGTAGATGTGAATGTATATGTCTGTGTATCTGCCCAGTGATGGGTGTCTCCTGCCTTCCGCCCAATGAGCCATGAGGATAAGAGGCTTAGATTGTGTGAGTCTGAAGTAAGAAGCAGGGTGCCTCCTGAGAGCCTCTGCGCGTGGCCGCTCTGCATGGCCCCGCCTCTCACGGCAGCGTGAGCCACTACAATATCATACAATTGTTTAGGGGACAATGTTAGGAGAGTTTCATATTCATAAAGTAAAATGGTCTCTCTCCAAACCTAACTTTATGTGCTTCTTGGAAGATTTTAAACAATAGATCATCCTTTTATGATATCCAAAAAATAAGAAAGCACTAAAGACAATCAATGCAATCAAAGAATTTAATATAATGTGACGGAATGTTTTTTTCCCTTTCTCTATGAATCCCTGGCAATGAACGTTTGTATATTGTTGGTTCCTAAATGTTTTTGTACCTCTTGTTACTTTTTGGTGATGCTAATTTAAAAAAAAGGCCACCCTGTTAAAAATAAAGGTTCTGTGCAGGTACAAACAATGTTAATGTTCCTTTAAACGTACAACAGTGGATGTAAGGTCCAGCTGTGTACCTTAAATAAGTTGTTCCCAGGTGAAAAGTACATATTTGTGTCTTTTTGTAACCTAATGTTTTAAAACAGAACAATAAAAAGCCTGAAGACAAGGCGGGGTGTGTGGAGTCAATACAGCTTAGAAAATATAATTTTAATGGATTATGGTAATTATGTTCCCTGACTAAAGGTACTGAGATGTACCCCAGTGACAGTTTCATACCTTTTTAGGTTAGGTTAGTCAGAATTGACCACATTGCTGTCCATGTACTGCTCATCATTCTTGCCACAACCTCCTTTTCTGATGCGGAAGGAGTTGCGAAACAGGCTCTGACAACACCACATGCTCACCGCACACACACACACACACACACACACACACACACACACACAGGAACTGCACTCTGTCGGTTCGAATCCATGCTACCTAAACCCACAATCCACTGCAATCAGCACAGAGTTCAGACCACAACCAACCACTAAATTTCACTTTGACACAAGGTAGTAAATCATGATATTTTAGATATTTTTATGAGTGATGAATTCTAACAGGGAGGAGAAAAGGAGAAATTTTTGCTTAGTTGTAACAAAAGTTAGTACATTCCGAGACCTCACATCATGCATGTTGTGGTTTCTGAACCTAACGGACCTCCTCGGGTAAAGCCTAGATATTTAGGTAAATTCAGAAGGGAGGAGAAAATGGGGATGAGTGAGTGGGTGAGAGAGAGAGAGAAAGAGAGATATAAGAGTAACAACAGGAAACGCCCTGGTATCTCTCCATCATTGTCGGCTCAATACATGACAGCTCAGCCCCTCCACCTTGTTCCCACATGACTCTGACTCTGTCAAGCTACTGCACTTCAGATCAGCATAAAGAACCTCAAACAGCATCTGCACACACAGAGTCTGCTATCTCTCCCAGGTAAGCACACTCGGAGCTCTAACCTCCTCCAGATGCGCACAGGAAGCTTTGCCTTAATCTCAGTTAGCTCAGATCTCTTGGCACTTCGGTCTCTCTGCTCTTCAGGTGTCAACTCATTCCTCCAGAATGTTTCATCTTTAGCTGCTGTTTTAAACTATTTTTAACTACAGCTGTAGTTTTAAACTATAAGCATGCAATAAGCTATGGTTATCATCTCTACTAACAATTAGGTATTTCCTGTGCTGTGCTGTAAGAAAACTTTAGTGGGTGAATGGTTTCCTTCATAAAAGCTTCCTGCCTTCTGTTACTATTTTAAAAGGAGAACTCTTCAAGATAACCACTGTGATTTCACTATAAAAAAGCTGTGACTTCCTATATAATGAATGGAATATGCTGAATTATGTTGCAACTCTATTGAGAGTTTCATCTACTACTAGTCCTTGTGTGCAGGCAGAGCTCAACAGTGTAGGGTGGGCAATATGACAATATGTTAACATTATTATGATAAATTACATCACAATACAATTTTCTGACTTTATCTTGGGTATCATCACTACATCTAGAACAGGGGTCTTTAATGGTTATTGAGGACAGGTGTCCAGCACAGTTTGATGATTTCCTTGCTCTGACAAGTCAACTGATTTTATTTATTTAAATTCAAATGCCAATTAAATGGTGCATTTACAATTGCATTTCCAATGTGAGTGTGTATTGTTAAAGACATTATTCCAAGTCAAATGCAAAATGTGTATTTGCATTTCTGTCTATAAGGGCTGGCAAAAGTTAATATGCAGAAGCAAAGGGCTTTAAAAGTGCTTTTTTCCATTTTCACCAACATTATCACTATGACACATTAAAAATGGAAAAACAACTGCTTATTTGCATATGCAACTGAACTTCAGCTTAAATTAAATTGCAATCCTGTTTGCAATTGCATTTTCACTGTGAACTAGGCATTTCTGTCAATCAAACACTGTGGGTGGGACATAAGGAGGGACTTTTTAGTGCAAGGTGTGTTTTAAGAGGAAGCGACAAAAAAAGTCTGAACATAGACCGGTAGTAATGGTAGTACAGGCCCATATGGAAAAAAAAAAAAAAACTATATTCCAAATGTATTTATCAAATATATTTTTGCAATATATGAAAAAGGCCAAAAAATGTATTTGTTAAATATATATTTTAAAATGCATTTATTTGTATTTGTTATTATATTCTTTCAGTTGTATGTAGCTTTAATAAAGGTTACAGATGTAACTAAATGGTACTGATTTCTGTGTTCTATGGTGTACTTTGCATTAACCATGTATCTATACAGTAAGACACTCGCATGAAATGTAGGTCAAATAAAGAAGATATCAACTCATAACTGCATGTTTATAGAGTATCAATACCTACAACACCTGCTTTTGCCATGTTAAAGTTTCATTTGCTTATATTTAGCATTAAGATACTGGAATACAGATACATTTACAAAGGTAACCAAACAGTCTGTTAGACATGCACTTTGACTATTTTCATACATTTTCGAATGTATTTAATAAATACATTTACAAAAATGTATTTTAAAATGTATTTTGTTAATATGGCAATATGTTCGGAAACACATTTGGATCGTATTTCAGCATGGACTGCAATGTATTTGAAATGTATTTCAAATATACAAAAAATACATGTCCATATATTTTCATTCCATCTATCCATCCCAATCCATTTATCTCATTGTTAAGTTCCTCCGGGAGCAGGGTTGGGAAACACTGCGCTAACCCACATTGGCCCTACGCCTCCATGACAGGAATATCCACCATTCGCCATCCAGGCCCTCTGACAGCCCTGCGAGCATGAAACCAGTCACCATGTTACTAACATTGGTGATTGTGCAGACACAATCTCTCCTATAGAGTCAGGAATTCCTTTGGACAGAATTCTCTTCAGCATAGTTAGCAAGTGTTAAAATGTCACTAGCAGCAATTCCGCCAGTTCGGCTAAAGTTTAGACTTTTTAACAACTTCTTCTTATAGGATGGCCTACACTAAAAATCTATTCTGACGTCCCATCCACAGCGTTTGATTCAGCCCCGCTGACAGTGAAAATGCAATTGCAAACAGGACTGCAATTGCATTTTCATTTTGGCAGAGCAGAAGCTCAACAGTGAGGAAATGCAATTGCAAATGGGCGAATGTTATTCTGTTTTTAATATGGCAAATGCACTTTGCTTTTCCATATTAACTTTCTTCCATATTAACTCTGGCCATGATGCACAGAAATGCAACTGCAAATATATTTTGCATTTGAATTTGAATTATATCGTTAAAAATGCAGACTCACGTAGGAAACACAATTAAATTAGCATTTTCAAATTTGGATTTGAATTTGAACAAAGTCCATAACATTCTGCTCTAGATTAAACTCAACAGTTAATAGCCAGGTTTAGTAGGTGTTTTTCGAGTAGGGCAGCTGTGCTGGACAGTAGTTCAATAGATGTTTTTTGAGAGTGCTGAAGGAGATTTTTGAGTAGAGAAATCACAAAATGTTGGACACCAGGCTTTCAAGGCCAAAGTTAAATACCCCTCTTCTAGGACATTATAAAAAATATAATTTATGGATTTAGACCAGTTATGCAAACTCAAAGAGCTGAACAGCAACTTCAGAGGTCCAAAAAAGCTATCAATACTTAGCATATCAGAAATATTTTTAGTGGTTTCTCACTTGCTCATAGTAATGAATGACCTACAACATTTGACACCACTGTTGTACTCAGAAGTTAAAGCTGCAGCAACCCCACATCTAAGATGCTTCGCACTTAATTTCAAGTCCAGTGCTGCAGATGGTAGCCTAAAGATCACAAAGCCATTCTGTGTTGTTACACTATGCGTAAAGAAGACGCATAGCCTCAACAGTAATGCTAGTTAGTTGGGCCTATGGCTGTAATGATGGACTGAGATTGACTAAAAGAATTAACCCGCTTTACTATGGTCATGCTAGGAAAGCTGGCTAATGTTAGCTAGGTCGGCTAACTAACTAGACAAGGTTAACAATGCCAGAGCAAGAAAAGCTAACATAAGCTGGAAATAAAGTTGTGTCAATATGTTAACAAGTCTCCAGATGCTAATTCTGTCTCCAGATACTAATTCTGAGAGTAACAACAAGCGCTCTTGTGGATTCGTTAAAGGTCTGATAAATTTTGAATGGTTGCAGAGAGCAGTAGCTAAGATTAAGCAACAAAACTGTTATACATACTAAAATCAAATCAATATTTGGCTACAAGAGCAGAAATTTTGATCTCTGTTCTTATGAAATAATTAATCATAAGGTCTTCACCTGAACTCCTCATACATGAAAACTTTGAGCAGAAGCCTCCCCACTAAATAAGAGCAATAATACTGATTCTCATTTTGAGGGGATACCAACTAGTATCGAAACTAATATCCTGATACGAATGCAGATAACAATGCTTTTGTCAGTCTTATTGCTCACGTAAAATGGTGAATTCTAACTAATAAATATAGACATAAAAATGCAATATAATTGAAAACCTTTGCATTCGTAAGATAAACTGACTAAAGCAGAGTGAAAAAACACTATGTTCTGCCATTATAGAGCATTCACAGTGTCTCATGTGGCTATCAAGGCCAGTTTCCCAGACATGGATCAAGCCTAGTCTGGGACTAAATTGAAACAACAATGGTAAATCACCATTGGAGATGGTTTTTAGTCTAGAATTGGCCTTAATCTGAGTCTGGAAAACTGGCCATCTCTTTCATAAACATATATTCCATTTACTGCTCAAAGTAAGGATGTTCAATCTTTTCCAAAAAGAGTCGGTGTGGCTATTGGTCTCAGTCTTCAAAGAACTGACCAGATGATCCCCTGTTTTGCTGGAATGAAAACCTGCAGCCACAACGACCCTTTGTAGATAAGCGTATACTACCATATGAAATAGCATGCCAAAAATAGTAGACCATCAGTGCATTCATTTGTATAGCATGGTAGTATGTGGTTTTGGGCGTATCCTTAGTATCAACATTTTCATGTTCGGAAGATCGATTCTCAAGAAGAAGCGTCAAGATCTGAAGTATCGATATTTAAGTATCAAACTATCCCTATTAGAAAGCATCACTGGCTGAGCAGTCATAGAGAAGGGGGCATGAACAATAAAGGGCTTATTGAGTTCATTCTAGGCCAATAAGGCTGACATGCATATGGTATACTCTGGTACACTCACTCATCTGACTTCTGAGGACAGCAGTGGTGGATTACAATTTAGATCTGCCACCATAATATATACAGGCCACTATATATACAGGCCATTGTTTATATAGTGGCCACTGGATGTTCCACACAAATAAAAATACAGAAACCAAAGGACCCAACCTAATGGAAGCTGAGCATAGTTGAGCACAGTTATCATAGGAAGTAGATGACACTGACAAAACCACAAGCTGCTGCTTCAAAAAGTTACTGGTAAACAAAATGACAAAGCTATCTAATTCGAGGAAAAACAAGCTAACGCCTATTTCTAATGAAACATTTCCTCCCCAGCAATGAGATCTGGCCTGAGCTGCATCCCAAGGCTGACAACAGGATGGAACAAAAAGCTCTTCCTTCTTACCGTTGCTTTCATCTGCATCTTTGTGAGTTTGCCAAGGGTTCCTCATAGTGGCGGCTACAGGCCAGAAACCATCACCATCCTGCTGTGGTACTGGCCTTTCCACACTCCATACAGCCTAGCAGGGGATGTGTGTCTGGAGAGCTACGGTATCTCTGGCTGTCGACTGGTGGATAATCGCTCACTCTATTCCACTGCTGACATTGTGGTCTTCCATCACCACGAGCTGAGGAGTAAAAAGCAGAAACTGCCCCTTCACCTCCCTCGCTCAGGCAGTCAGAGGTGGCTCTGGCTGTCTCTGGAAGCCCCACCAAATATTGGTAATTTGAGGCGGTACTCAGGTATCTTCAACTTGACTATGTCATATCGACCCGATGCAGACATTACAGTGCCGTATGGGAAACTTATGCCCAAGGGGAAAAGTGGTGCAGCTGGATCTAGTGACTTTATTATGACAAGAAATAAGGCTGACCTGGTCTGCTGGGTGGTCAGTAACTACAATAAACTCCACAAAAGAAGCAGAGTGTATCAGCAGCTGAAAAACGTCATCCCTGTTCACATGTATGGCCATGCTGTAAAAAGGCCAGTGCCCCAGAGTGAGCTGCTACATATAATTTCCCACTGTTATTTTTATCTGGCCTTCGAAAACACGGTGTCTCCACACTATATCACAGAGAAGCTATGGCGAAATGCCTACCAGGCTGGGACAGTGCCCGTGGTTTTGGGTCCTCCACGTAGGGACTATGAAGCTGTGGCACCACCAAATTCTTTCATCCATGTGGATGACTTTGACTCCATAGACGCTCTTGGCAAATTCCTAAAAAACCTATCCACAGATGTAGAACGCTATAAATCGTACTTTGCCTGGCATCAGAACAGCTCTGTTAAACTTTATACGGACTGGAGAGAGAGGCTTTGCAATATCTGCCCAATTTATGACAGACTTCCATACAAGACATACCAGAACTTGAGTGCATGGGCAAAATGGTGACTCACAAGACCTTTACCATGTATTGCATTTAAAGAACATTAAGTGTAGCTCTTTTAAACTTAAGTTTGCACATTCAAGATCTTTGCACAACAAAAAAAGTGATGTGAAATTCTACACCAGGGTGTAATAAAATACAGTCTCAGTCTCCCTGTACTTAAACATCACAACAAGAGCATGGGCTGTGAAACAGGACTCCCACATTAGTATCTGGTGTGATCGCCATTTGTCTGTAGGTGAAACATATTTCTAAGGGAAAAATCCTTGCTTTATTTTATCAAACTGCAACAGCAAAACCAAGTGTCACATTTCTATTTTTGTTCAGCATGTTCTACTATGTACATGTATGGTTTCTTCCATCTTTGACAATAAGGTGCTCAACTCTCCATGTTTCACTTGATTTGCTGTTCATTGCAAACGTCATGATTTAATGCGCACAGACGTGTGGATTCATAGCTTGAGTATTTAAAGTAGGTTAAAAGTACAGATTGGCGATACCACAAATTTTCCTCTTGATCTGATACCAAGTAATACCAAGGCTAATATCCCAATACCAATACAGATGCTGTTAAAATGGGAGTTCTTTGTGATTTCTACAATAAAAACCATTCACTGTTCTCATGGCTGGCTGCACCTGTGTGAGAAGCAGAGGGAGAGGCTGGAAGGAAAAGTAGCCCTATCCTACCCATATTTGCTCTGATATATCTTTAATTTTCCCAACCATTTTCATAACACTGATTCCATTTAATAATATTCAATTTACTGCTTAAAGAAAACACCTAGTATCGACATCATGTGCGCATAGATTCTCAAAAAGTAATGTCAGGATCAGAAGTATCGAGCCGCATACCTCTAATTAAATGGAGTTAAAGAACAGCTGAAATTTGGGAAGAGAACCATGCCTGAATCCCCTCCTCCTTCCAATCCAACACCCTATAAATTTCCATCTCTACCTTCCGTTTCTCGTGATGAAGATTGCACAATACCCACCACTGCCCCATCTGCTCAGTCCTATCAGTTTAGAAAAAAAAAGGGGGGGGCCCAGGCCTTCTAGCTCCAGGCGAAAGCTGTCCAGAACTCCAAAGTTATTAACTGAGCTAACCACGGCTGCTTTTGTTAAGTGTCAGCTTCACAAAACTATATACTACTGTATTACACTAACAGATGGAGGTCTAAATGTTAGGGTACTATTTAACATTCTACTCATGTGCTCCAGTACATAGTGACAGCCTATTGTTTTAGTACCCACAACACTGAAACGTAATTCCTCAAAAAGTTGTGAGAATGTTTTAGTAAGTAACCTCATCAGTAAGTTGTCAACCTCCTAGAATCCTTCCTAAGTTCCACGACTTGGTTAATGGAACTCCATGGAATTTTGCTTAGTTGCCAATAAGTAGTCCTAATACCATATGGCAATGTTACTTAATACTGAGGGTTATGAGAATCTCGTTCAAATGTAAAACAGCATCACCACCATTTCACTATGTTGTAAGAAAATGTTGACAAGCTTGGGTGAGACCCCTCAGGGAGTGCCCAACCCTGCTCCTGAATATCTACACACGCTACACTTTAGCTCTTATCTAAAGAACCTGATCCACTTAACAAAATTTATCAGGAGCATGTAAATATTAGAGGTGGGTGTTTGAAGGAGGATAGATACTAAAGGAACATGGCTGAGCAGCAAAGAACAGACCAGCATGAGGGAAACCATTTGCAGAAGTGCAAGAGAAATTTCTGTAGTAACTGAAACCACAAAAGCACAAGCCAAGTTTCCTCTTCTACTCCTGCACATCTCCTAGAAGGTGTGAATTATACTTGAACAACTGGACCAGATCATACACAGGAACTGTGTCCACACAGTTGAAAATGAGAACACCAACATGCAATGCTCACTTTGAACCCAGGAGAGGGGAAGGGGAGAGGGAAAACCCACACACAACACACCCTTTGGTTTAAGATTCAGACCTCAGGCAAGGCCTTACTAGGTATATGAACAGGATTCACTAGAAAGGAAGTATTTTGTTTTCACAACATCCATAACTTGCACTCTTTTTTCCCCCCCACCACTGTCACTACAATAGCCATCTGTTTCCTCTTCAGAGCAAAGTCAAAAATAGACTAAAAGAATGTTAGTGTTTTACATGTTCTGTAAGGATGATATAGAAATGTGGATTGTCAAAGGAGCTGGTTTAATTGCAGTCATAGTAGTAGTAGTAGTAGTAGTAGTATAGTAGTAGTAGTAGTAGTATGAACTTATCAAAAGCCAGGAAAGAATGACCAATACATTAATAAATTATCAGAATTGTTTTCATTTACAATGTTGAATAGAGAAGGAGGTATCAGGTTGTGAAATAAGGCACAAAATATCCATTGGGAGTAACAGATTAAGGGGATACAGTGTTGAAATTCCACCTAGTATTTACTAAACTGAGCTAATGGGGCAGAAGGGAACTCTAATTGATGCCCTTTCAGAGCAAAAACCTTTGACAAACAACTAATATTCTTCTCAAGTTAGCTGCCAATTCCACAATTCTCCCAACTGATCAGGCAAATAGTTAAAAGTCACTTTGGATATCTCATCATTAACAAAAATATTGGACTATAATAAAAATAAAAAAAATGTACACACAAAAGGTACATGAAAAAGAAAACATTAAAACCAACTTTGAAAGTCATGCTTTAAAACAAAACCATGACTTGTGCAAATGCATTTCATTAGATAAATTTAGATTCCAGTACCCTCCCTGTTGAGTGACTCAGACACATGTTCATTTCTAATCAAGCAGGCTCTGCAATACTGCATTTTGGAAAGCAACAAAAGTTAGAAGCAGAGTCATTTTAAAAAGATGGGGGGGTGGGAAATGCTAGTTTGATCCATAGCTTGGCTTGGAGCAACTCAAGTCATGTCCTCTTCCCTTAGCAAGCCATTTCTCCCCCAAGGGTGTCATCAGAACAAAGGGAAAGGCTAGAAGTGTCAGCTTAGCTGGAAAGGTGGCCCACCAGTCCAGGGTGCAGGGCCTGTTTGAAGACATCTGGCCGGTGAATTGGTGGCATGTACAAAGTAGGCACCCCCCCAGGGTGAGTGGGTGCCAGATAAGCCTGACCAGAGAGGGGTGTGCCTCCCATGTGCGGAGGTGGTGTTGGACTTTGTTCATAATACTGACCCTCTAAGGTCTCATCATCCAAGGGTAAAGCCAGACGCTTGCCTTTCTGCCTGCGGTTACAGAACCAGACACGGACCACCTGAAAGACAAGCTTCTTCATAAAAAGAGTCAGACAAGCTACACAGAACACTAAAAAACAGAAATATCAAGTGTGTGTGCGTGCATGCGTGGAGTGGGGGGGGGGATGTGGGTGGGAGTTATTACTTACATCTCTCTCCAAGCCAAGGTCATCAGATATATGCGTGATTTCCAGCGTGTTGGGCTTGGGACACTTCATAAAGTACGACTCGAGAGCAGTGCGGACTGAACCCTCTAAACTAGTTCTCCTCTTTCTCTTTCTCGTGTCGACAAAAACCCTCTCAATCTTGTACATCTATAAAAAGAGAAGACCAAGTACACGTTATAGAAGTTGGTCAATTGCAAGAGCAGGTCACCACAAAACTGGGCTGCATCCACAACTGCATACTACCATGCTAAGTAGCATGACTATTAGCTGTACAGTATGTGGCTTTGGTTGCAACCCCCCCTATATTTACTTCTTCTAGACATAGTTAGGGCTCACAGTGACCTGATTTCACCTTCTCCCATTTCTGAAGTTTGGCCTCTGTGAGAATTTGGTTTCACTGTAACAAAACTCTCAAAAGGACTTTGCTTTGTCAGAAGGAGGGTTTAGAAGAAAATTCAGAAACCTGTTAGCCTTCATTAATGCAGTATTGACCTGATTTATTTCTCCTGAGTGGGCTTATTCTGACCTCAGAAAGCACCCACCCCAAGAATGTGTGAAGTACCGGCTGCCCCCTAGTGGCCAAGTTTGAAGTGACTAGTAAAAAAGATCACGTGACTCACATCCTGGGGGTTTTCTGATGTCTCTGCTTCATTCAGCCATCTCTGTAGCAGCGGCTTTAGCTTGCACATGTTCTTGAAACTGAGCTGAAGAGCTTCGAAACGGCAGATAGTCGTCTGACTGAACATTTTCCCTGAACAGAAATGAGAAAGTACAATTTAAGATACTGTCACAATTAGCTATGATAAGCAGTGACTTCCACTCGGCATTGAGTGGACAGCTGAAACTCACCGTACAGGTTCCCCAGTGCCAGTCCCACATCTGCCTGAGTGAAACCGAGTGTGATGCGCTTATGTTTCAGCTCTTTGGCGAACTGCTCCAACTCCTCCGTGGTCAAGTTCTCCTTAAAATAAAGAGCAATTAGCCCAGAAACAAGAAGAAATGTAAATGGAAGAAAACTCCCCAACCCCATTAGACTAATGGGATCAAATACATAAAAGAACCCTGCTAGAAAAACCAGCACAGACCAGCATGGCTGGTCACCGGCAAAACCAGTGTGTTGTGTTTTGGATGCTGGTCAGCAGCAATGGAAGTTAATATGCTGATCACCACCAACACCAGCATATGTTGCGTTTTGATGCTGGTGCTGGTCAACCAACATGACCATGCTGGGGTGGCTAGCTAAACCAGAACCAGACCAGCATAAACCAGCACAAACCAGCATGAAATGCTTCCTGCTCTGTGCAGGTTTTTTTTCCAGCAGGGAACAGGGAGAGATCAACTGTTTGTGTCATAAGTTAGTATGGTCGTCCTTTAGAACAGCTTGGCAATTCAGACTTCAGCTGCTGTTGATTAACGTATTCTTTCTAACTAAAGCAGATACGTTACACTAGTGATTTACATGAAACTAGCCTCATCATTCAGGCCATGAGGGATGTGTAGCCAATATCATCCATGTAACCTGAACTCACCCAACAAACATTTATTAATTATTCTTACATGTATGATTTACAAGTTTGCAACAAATATTTATGCTCTTAAAACAAAATGGTACTCCAGTAATGGGAATGGTACAATTTAGAACAATAAGTTCTGTGTATGACCATTTTATTCTTAAATGATCCTTGGAATGGTGGAATTGTTCTTCAAGTTGATGGAGAATGTGTTGTACAGGGCTCAATGTAGAACCTTCTTGAAAAAGGTTCTTCTGTTACAAGCTTGACGTAACAGAACACTTTCTGGAAATATAGTAACCAACACATTATCCATCAATCTGAAGAAACATCACACCAAAGAACCATTTAAGCATGAAATGGTTCTAAACGGAACCATTGCCTTTATCAAAGAACCATCTTAGGGCACTGCTTAACTACCCGGTTAAAGATTAATAAAAAAATAAAATAGAAAAAAAAAAAAAAAGTACCTCTTCTTCGGAGTCGCTGCAGCCCCCGCTGGAAGAGCCGCTGCTTCTGCCGGCGCTGTGCGCATGCGCGGCGGGCGCCAACTGCGCCGAGGCCCCGCTGTAGAAGGCGCTACTGGGGGGAGAGGGAGAGAGCGAAGGGGACGTGGAGGATGGCGGGGTAGAGGAGGGCACGGAGACAGCCGGCAGAGCCTGGCCGGTGGCGCAGGGCGCCGAGACGTGAGGCAGCCCGTGCCAGAAGGACGGGGGCCACGGGGCGGGATAGTAGAGGCCCGAGGCCCCCGGGGTAGGGAACTGGGGCTGTTGCAGTTTGACCTCCCCGTAATCCTCCCCCCTCATCTCCTTCTCGATCTTCACTTCAGCCATCCTGATCTGCTCCCGGGTCTCGGCGATGGGGGGGCTGAGGTTGACAGGCTGGGCCCCCGCCACCTGCCCCGGGTAATCATGCCCCGGGAAGGGGTACCACGGCTTGTGCTGGGAGAAGTCTCCCGCCTGCACCTCGCCGGGTCTGAAGTCACCCCCTACAGCCGCGAAGGGGAAGAAAGTCTGGGCCTGAGGAGGGCTGAGGCCGCTGAAAGATGAGGCCCTGTTGAAGAGCAGGCTGGGCTCCTGGAGGTGCAGGGCCTCAGGGCCCGGGGCTGGCGGGCACACGGACCGGACCAGCTCACTGCACTCCGGCCCAGGGCTTTCAGACACATCACACATCCTCCTCACTGCTAAAAGGCCCGTACACAGTCCAGCGACGAAGGAAGACACAAAACGAGCTGCTATCAAAGAGCTACGTTGTTAAACACGTCCATAATACCAAGATAAAACTCTCAGAAAAGTTAGTGGCGCCTTGAAGCGATGGCTCGGTCCGCTGGCTGTGCTAGAGACTTAAGTCCTTCACGAAAGGAGTCCAGTATGGAAATGTGAGCAGCAGTAGTGTCGCTGTGAAATGGCCATTAATGAAGTTGATAGTGCAGCTCAGCGTCCAGGCCTCCAACTGCAGCCTCCTCGCCCAGGTTTTGCTAATCAATCCACGCTGAGGGCTGGAGGTCTTAATGAGCTCATCTCCTATTGGCCACCCAAACACAATAGGCCTCAGCTGATGGGCAATCTGGGATTGAACTTGATTTCTTACTCGTTTAGAAACGTGTATCTTTGTTTATCCCCCACTAGACAAATACATGGACTGTGATCCTCGACCTAAGTCTTTTAACTGTTTTATCATGTACTTTATGTGCTGTTTCTATAATCCAGCCTGTCCCATCTAATGTGCATTTATAATGCAGCACATAACCGAACTGCACTTCTAATACAACATAAACTCCTCTGCTTGTGCTGTATTTACAATTCAGCAAATAATGTGCTGTATTTATAATACAACATAAAGTCCTCTATTTGTATTGCATTTATAATACAACAGGGTCCAATTCATGTAGTGTGTTTAGAGTGCAGTTTGTAGTCCAGCGTGCCCCGTCTAGTGTGTACTTATAATGCAGCATATAACTCAACGCATGTACTTATAATGCAACATCAACTCCTACTTGTGCTGTATTTAAAATGCAGCATTTTTAACGCATATACTGCATTTATGATGCAACATAAACTTCTCTACATGTGCTTTATTGTATTTATTTATAATACAAGAGTCCGATGCATGTAGTGTATTTAGAATGCGATTTATAATCCGATGTGCTCTATTTAATATGCAATATAAAGTAATCTACGCCTGCTGTATTTACAGTGCAACATATATTCCAGTGCATGTGTTGTTTTCATAATGCACCACAAACTCTTCTGCATGTAGTGTTTATAACTGAATATACAACGAAGGTCGTGTATTCTTTATATTGCTGTCTGTATCCACTCCACTGCATGTGCTGTATTTACAATGCAAAATGCGCTGCTCATAGTGAACGTGTTTAATATGCATGACACCACTACTTTGTTTCAATAATTTCCTCTTAATGAGCTCTCCTTCATATTGAAATTCCACATCCCACAGGAAAGGAAGAATTTTACTGACTACTAAACCAAAGATTATTCCTAAAGCCGGATCATTACAGCCACTTTGGAATTTTAAACGCGAGGGACTTGGGACTTAATTCTGCTAAACAGGACAGGATCCAATCACCCTTTTTCCCCCCTTTACCTTTCCTAAAGGTCCTGGACCATGATATGATCTGATATAGTTTGACACCACATTTCTTATAACAGTAAAACCACGAAAGGTTTTCCATTTATTTATTTATTATTATTATTAATAATAATAAAATAACGAATCATTTTTATTAAGGTTATAAACTGAAGCGGTTAAATGGCGTCAGTGGCCCGATAAAAGGTGAAAGAACAACGAATAATCGGTAAAATAACAACGAATAAAAGGTGAAATGTTTGTCTTTGATAGCTCAGCTCTTTCCTCACAGTTTTGGATCTGAAGTGTGGCGTCTCGCACTGAGACATGATAACACCGAGGTGGCCGAGCTGGATTTTCACGTTGAAAAAGTACAACAGAAAATAGTAAATTAACTCAAATGTGGGCGGAATGGCAAGATGTAATATTGCGATACTTAAGGAAGGTTTTTTACGATACGCGATATATCACGATACTTATTTTTTTTCTGACGACTGATAAATTAGAACAGACAAAATAGCGCCATATATTAAAAATACTATCAAAAACTGAATGCAATTATTTCTATTCAAAATGATTAATTATGCTCCCTTTTATACAAACCATACAGCTGGTTAGTGTTTTTTAAGTACTGAAACGCATATTGTGACATATTGTGATGCAATTTGTCACGATAATGATATTGTCATATTGGTCAGTTCTAATTGAACTAATTCAAATAAGCTTGAGATATTTGGTAGTTTTTTTTTTCCTTTTGGTCGAACAAACGTATCAGGTTGGATATTCATGATAAGGTACATCAAAAGCGCCCGTAACTCTAAGGTTGGACAGTGACGGCGCACCGTTAGCCGTGTCTGCTCTCTAGCACATTGAGCCTGGACTGAGACCTGTAATTGAGAAAAGACGTTCACTTGAATAGTATTGTAGTTCGTAGTAGTGTCTCGTTATAAATATTCTTAGGGTTTCAGGGACTCAGATGCACCGTGCGTGCACCACCTACCCTCTCTCTGGACAGAGACTGGGGCAGGAAGACTCTCCACAGGAAGGTAGGGGGGGTTATTGTGCTCCATGGCCCGGGGGCTCCCCGCTGATTCCAGCTCCACAGTTGCGATGGCCGGCCATTAGCTGCCTTTCAGCGGCCAACAATAAGCTGCTATCCTTTGATTCTCCCCCTTTCCCCCCTCCCGTCACCTGAAACAAACACCAGCCAGAGTTTCAGTGGCTTCCCAAGCTGGTTCCTAGCATTAAACATAGTATCTATAGGCCTACGTTACAATGTAGGCCTACTGTAGCGGCATGCAATGCGATGCATGCACTGTGTTTACAATGCAGCATAAATGACATAATTTGTATGGATATTTTTTAGAAAGGACATGGTTGACCATCGATATTTTATTTGTTTGAGAGATGAAGGAAGGCTGAATGTGCAATGGGATATCATTGCAGTCAAACTCTTGTTGTCTTAAATCATATGCATTAATAGCCGTTAGTCTGCCTTGGTTGAATACATCCATGTTGCTATAGAATATTGTTTCAGTGGTTCCCAGCGTTAAGCACTATGAATGAAGCCTACTTTACTATGGCAACATGTAATCCAGTGCTTGCTCTGTGTTTATAATGCAACATAAGTGCTATAATATGCATATGGATATACAACTAAATCCATGTACTGCTATATACACACTACTGTTAGAAAGGATAATGACCAAGGATATTTTTGTTTGTTTGAAAGATGAAGGAACTTGAATGTGTAATGGGATATCGATGCACTCCAAGTCTTGTTGGCTTGGCTTAAATGATGTCCATGTATAGTTGTCAGAAGCTGCTTTGTTCTTTTACATATAATCTTTTTAAAACTCTACCACCCAGAAAGATCATCACACGCACCACCACCATTGGTTTGCCCAGAAATGAAACAATCTACCCCCTGCCTTCAAACACACTTCAGCAGGCCATGAGCTGCAGGCTGCAAGTCATGTTTCCAGCTCCCCTGTTCAGAAAAGCTGCACCCAGAAAAGGGCACCCAGGAGGCCTCCAGGGCCAGTCAAAGGTTTAAAAGACATCAAACCACTGCTCCAGGCATTGTAGTGGGCCATGGACTTGGGAAGGCGATTGTCATGCAAAGTGCAGACAGCGGAGGAGAAAGTGAAGCGAGCTGAGCTTCAGAAGGCCATCAGAGAGAGCAGGGAGCGCCCATGGGGCTCCAGCAAGGGGGTGACCCAGAGAGGATTAAACTTCCAAAAGCACCCAGATGGCTTTTTTTAGAGCTTGTCTTTTTAAGTGGCCTTTAAAACTGCAGGCACATCACTCTATACAGAGAGAGGGGTTTTCTTTTTTTTTGATACAGAAAAACAGAACTTTCACAATAGGCTGCTGTTTCCTCTGAACATGAAGTAATGTCAGAGTTCCTTTTCCGTTACATGCTGACTTGCAGAGAAGTTAAAATCTGTTTTCAACCTTTACACAACTGAATAAATGTACCCAAAAGGATGAATTTTGCCATATGAATTGTGATAAAAACTCACTTTTAAGACATGGTTTGTAATATTTCAAATATTTCTTAAGGTTTGTGTTCAGGTAAGATCAGAGAAATTATAGATCAAAGGAAATGAAGAATTTCAGAGATAGACCTTAAGTACTGCAATGTAATGCCACAGCAGGAGCTAACTTCATGAAGCAACACTGCTATTAATATGACCTTAATATGACATTTGAATTTAAAAAAATATATATTGAGTGAGCAGATTATTTCATGGTGATTTTCTATTCATTACAATACATCACAGTAAATCTGAGATTAAATAATTTGAGCAATATAACAGGGAATATATTTCATTTATCCATCTACGTAAATACTTTTTGGTCATCATGTGCATACTCATTTATCTAGACCAAACAATGGCGTGGGCAATGGTTTCTCATTTCAAATTCAACATAAATCTAATAAAATGTACTACTGAAAAAGAAGTTCCACGATCCCTGGTCAGTGGGACGTGTGTCAAATGCACTGTTAGTAAACAATTCACAAGCCAACATATGCTAACTCCTATGCTTCCCAGTACCAGCAATAATCAAACATGGCTGAATTGTAGGCCAAAAACACAAATAATCTTCTTAAATACGTATTTGCAAATCAACAGCCTTGATAAATTGATCCTAGACCAAGTTCTTAATATAAACAATAAACTGTTGTGCTCCAGTATACTGGACTGACATACTGACATTAGAATTATTCACTTTAGATTTGACCATTTCTTTCTTCACATATAAGGAGGCATGACTTGTTATTGTAAACAGACATACAGCTCTTGCCCTGATTGTACAGTGACCGCCATAATCTGTGCAATCTGTTGCTCCTGATACGACCAGCCCGATGGCCTTTTGATAGCTTTGACACCCTGCTGACGACCACCGTCCCTGGGACATATCTCGATCGGATGGCCTATGGCTGCCTTCCTCACCATCCACATTGACAATGGCCTTTAACGGCCCCCCTGATGATGCGCTGCCTCTGAGCCACACCTTAAGAGGCCCTTAAGTGGCCCATCGTAGGTCTATAGTGGGGGAAGCAGCACTGTTAATGCTCTATACTGCTCAACAGTTAAAGGGGGTAGAAAAAGTAAAATAAAACATAGGGCTTTGACCCTCACATTCTTAAGCTTATTGTACTACAATTGCTGAGATGGAATCAGCTTTGGCTTTTATATCATAATAAATAATTATATGTAAAATACTTTGGTCTGGGTTAGAAAAAGCACCTCCACCCTAACAAACCAGTACTGAATAGGGCTGAATCTTCACTCACTTCAACGGCCTCCAGATTTTGTTGGTGCTCGTGCTAAAGATGAGCTAAACCCCTGTGCAAAAAAGCTGCACACTAACGCGATCTTATACTCACACTGAAAGAAGAAAGCATTCAACCTCATTGAACCACAAACCACAGCACCCGAAGCTTGCTAGGCTTTGAGTGAAACCAGGTTCTGTGGTCTGCTGAGATAAAAATAAAGACTTTCTTGGCCTCAAGTCCCACAAAAGGGTTTGGTAAAGAAATGAAGTTTATCATGTAGAAAAGAACCCTGCATAGACTAAAGCAAGCTGGAATGGTTTTGAGTTTGCAAAGTTGCCAGTTTAAATGGCTTCCATTAAAATACATAACATAGGGGGCTCTGTCACATTCCAGAACTAAAACATCAAGTAGTTTCAAAGGTCATCCTAGTCTCTAGACCTCAAACTGTGAGATCAATGAGGCTGAGGAATCCGGAAACAATGTAAAAAAAGAACCTGTTACTATTGATGTGCCCACATCTTGGCAAAGATGCAGTGCTATGTCCACAAGTGGGAATATTTAAAGTGGGAATATTTACTTTATAGTGATTATTATGCAATTATGAAAGATCTACTCTCTGACAAAAGCAATTTGTTGCCAATTTATGTCAAAGATGAGCATAGAAAATATTTGATAAAGTGAGTTTTAGTGTTATTTTTTTTGTTCATATTAGTCAAGGGTGCCGATAATCCTGGTGAGCACTGTGCCTTAGTGTTTATTCTGTCTATAGACAATAAGTAAAAGTGGACTATTCCCTACCCCAGATTTTGACACTGTCCATGTCAAAGAAAAGCCTCTTTCACAAGTATTTTACTTTATTTGTACTAAAGTGACTTTAGTATTTAATACCTCAGTGAATTTACATACAATAAAATTTCTGATAATTATTCTATTTGAATAGTAGTCTACATGTCAAGAGAAAAAAACTGGAAAACAACAGTGAAAGGGAGAGGTAGACAAAACAGTAAAGAAACCTGAGAAAAGCACTACGGAATCGTAGAAAGGAACATAGAAAATGCAATTCAATCCTAAAAAGGAGATCAGCCTAGGTAAAGAAAACCAAAATCTGAGATGAAATCATTAAATCATATCCATGTAACTGTGAAGGATGCAAAGTGAAAGAGAATGGGTGCTGTGTATTCAGTACACATGTCTAATGAAATATAATGACATCCAAATAAGAGCTTTGGGAGGCAGCTTTCTTAATTTAAAAAAAAAAACAAACACTGATTAAATGAAGAACACATCTAACCAGAAGTGACATTTAAACTAAGCTCGACAGAAGAACTTGAAGTGTAAAGAGGCATGAGTAAAACAGATGTGTGATTAAAAAGCAGCACTAAGGAGCAGTAACAGCAGAGTGAAAAAAAGAACAGAGGAAAAGAGCCCTGTAGAGTTTCAGTCTGCTGTGCACGTTGCTGTCGGGTCCACAGTGTTCGTTAAAAGTCTTTAGAAAATGTGCATTGAAAGAAAAGTTCACTTTCAACTTCTGCTTTTATTTCATCCATTCTTCATCCTGTTTTAGGTTTAAGGACATCTTCTGTGTTCCATTTGTTCTGAAGGGCTAGTCTGATAAAGGGCAAGTCAAAACTTCCGGTGTTTGTGGTTTCTGTGAGTGTGTCTGTATGTGTGTGTGTGTGTCTCCATGCACGGTCATCAGAAGTGTGCATGTATCAATAACATGCTCTCCAATGAAGAGCAAACTTTTTTGTTTTGTTTTGCTATTCTGCTTTTAAGTAAGTGTATGTGTATATATATATATATATATATATATATATATATGTATGTATGTGTGTGTGTGTGTGTGTGTGTGTGTGTGTGTATAGACATCCAGGTCACTTGTGATTCCTCTCACGGTGTAGAGTTGAGTCATCAAACAGTGGATTCTTCACTTCCATCTCTCCAGTCTACAGAGAACAATCAGTGTAAAAAGAATATATGAGAAACATCCATTTCGCATACAGAAAGAAGAAATGAAAACTTCACTCCACAAAGTTTATTTTTCCTGACATCTGACAGCTGTGAATAGATGAAGTAGTGCCACACTTAACATACAAAATATGAATACTATGATTGATATTTTATTATATTGATATTTCTCATACTCTTCTATACTAAATCCAGTTTAACTGGACTGACTATGCTCTCTTTGCAATCAAACACACGGTTTTAAGTACTGACATTATCACAGTGTGCTCAGAAAAGCATACTGTGAAATATTTCAAAGTAATTTATCATAATAATGATGAATATTGTCATATTGCCCAGCCCTAGTAGAAAGTATAAAATAGCATTTAAAAAAACACCCTAAAAAAGCACTACTGACCGGGGCAAGTCCAGGGCACTCATATACAGTAAAGTCTCCTTCTTCGGTCTCCTCATCTGACGTGGCTCCAGACTCAGACACCTTAGGTTCTGTTTTGTTTCTGTGCATGAAGAAATAAAAACAGAATGGCTGTAATGGCTAGAACAAAATACAGAACTAATCTTATGACACTGGAATATCATAATGACCTGCATTCAAAAACATGTTTTTCAAACAGTTAACTTTTCTTTGAGTGTTTATTATGGTTACATAGAAAGGTATTTGTGTTAGCAAAAAAGTTTTTTTTCTTTTGAAAACACAAGTTTTCACAGCAGTTTCGGGAAAAGGTAGGATGCTTGAACTTATCATGGTTCGATACACTAAAGTATGTTAAATAGAGGACTACACTGTGGTGATGGCAAACACAGCTACAGAACATGCCAGCGCTGACGTGGCTGACTTGTTTGAATTGAGATGTCTGGACTGTGCAGGTGGTCGTTAGCTTAAACAGATAAATTAAGTTTGGCTTTTAAAATTATGTCAAATTTATGTTCCACATCTACCTCATAATTTGTCAAATATGGTGTGTAGAGCTGTCCTGGTAGCAGTAGCTCAGCATGCACACTACTAGTAGGACAGGTTCAATTCCAGCTCATTGATGCTTCATTTATACAAGTGCAGAGAATTAAGACTCAAATCTGACATAGCGAACCTATGTTTTTGTGTGGGCAGCTGTCAGCTAAGCTTATAGCGTTCTTTGAACTGATGCCACTGAAGAACCACTTTTATTTCCCCAACAGATGATTCTTTAAAGATCTATGTGTGCAAATGAGATGTGTGGGTGGGAAGAACCTTTTTAAAGGGCACATATCATGAAAAACTGAATTTTCCTCCCTTTTTTTTTTTAAATAAAAGAGTTTGATGTAGTATGTGAACACCGTAAAAGTTTCAAAATAACACTGTTCACTCCCTAGTCCATATATGGAAACCAAGCTACAAGAACAGCCCATTATGAGTCAACTGGTTTTGTGATTTCACAAAAAAAACAAAAGCATGTACGCATATCTGCATCTTCAGCCTACAGCAATTCTACTGGAGTAAGCTGGAGAGATTGGAAAACGGTCAGGTAAAAATTAATGGTGACTGTTTTGCTACATACAAGCACATAAACATTAAATGTGGACCTCAGGGGAAAAAAAATGAAATACAAGAAAAATGTAGGATATTGGCCCTTTAAAGTAAATGTAAGTTGGCTAAAGAGCACATGGACAAAAGGTTTGGAAATCTCACCTAGCAATCTCTAGGTTCACAGAAAAGTATTACAGACTCATGACAGAAACATGCCTGTAGTTCCAGAAACACCCAAAAATATTATTCTACATGAATTTATTACTCAGCATGAAACAGCGAATGACTTTTTTGCAGTTTAAATTATGCCTTTAGGGATACTTTAAAGACAGTTTGAATACTTACAGTCTGAAAGTGGTGAACAATATGTAAAGTGTATGTGTTTAAGACAGACCCAGTGACAATTACGGGAGAGATGATGTGTTCAGGCTTACTTCTCCATTGAGAGCATCTGTTGTTTCTGATGTTGGTAGTGATACATCTGGGCACTGTGAGCCAGCTTATTGTCCCCTGACTAAGAGAGAGATGCAGAGACAGACAGAACATATTCAGCACTCTCAATCCTTAAAACCTTCTCATGGGCATTTAAGAAACGAATCATGCTTTCATTCTAGTGAAAATTGTAAGTGTTTCCTTTCAGAAATAGCCTTCTTGAAAATGTGCACTGCGTATGTGCATTCCAGTGTAAGGTTTGCTTACAGAAATGCCGCTGGAGGATTTGGGCCCTGCTGCTTGAAATGCAGGATAATCAACTTTCTGAGCCAAGTGAGCTTCTCTCTGTAACCTGTAGGGGGTGATACCAATAATCAACAACATAACTGCCTAACACTGCAGGATAACAGTGGTAACTTCTTTTCCTTTAGAAGGAAACATGTTAAACAACTTTCAGTCGGACATACGTCACTTTTCTTTTAAATAGTCCTTTTTTAACTAAAATCACATAGCATAAAAAGATGCATAGTAAATACTTCAAACCCCTCAAACTCCAAGGACATGTTTGCAGGCTCACGCTTCATTCCCTCACTCTCACAACTACACAAATTACATATTAGTTTCAGAGCATTTAGTAAACAGCTTATGGTAGACATACTATACATACAAATAAGTCTTAAGATAAATAACAGCAATAGGTCTATGAATCAAAGTGGGTAAAATGTTAATGCAGCATTACTAATTTTCTGCCACAAATACAGCCTACATTTGATGTTTGTGAGAGGAATCATGTTTTGACGTTAAACAAAGTAGCACAGAATGTTAATCTGTCATGAATCTTACCTGACCCAGCACACAGCCGCCAGGATCAGAGCCACAGTCCCCATGATGATGCACACAGACATCAGTACTGCTCAGAGTTTGACAACACACAAAACAGAGACAGAGAGAGACAGCAAAAGGCAGAGAGAGAGGGGGAGAGAGATAGAGAGAGAGAGAGAGAGAGAGAGAGAAGGGAAAGACGTCAAACACAGGACCAATGAGGGCAGAAATCTACAGACCGTGACTCACTGCGCCATTCATTTTGTGGTTAGATAAGCCACTTCATAGCTGCAGCCTGGTAGAAATACACTAAAAGGAACATTGATCAGTGGGGCGATGAGTGTGCAGCGCATTAAATCAGACCAATAAAGGCCTGCCAGCATCTCAGTGCTTTTATGAAGTGCAGTCACAGCTCTATGACACACGCCTGTTACAGCACATCATGTGTTAGCCTGGCCTTGATAATGAAAGCTCTGTGTTTGGAGCAGTGAATGTGGGCCAGCTGGGTCACAGCAGGTAATAATTGCAGGGCCTGAAATTAGGATTCTAAGAGCCACGAGGACAACAGAGTGTAGTGACGTTAAGACTTGTACAAGACCAAGACCAGGCCTTTTGCGTCAGAATTCAGGCACAGCAAGGTTGCTCTCTGCCCGAAAAAGCATGCATGCTGTTTCTATTCCCTTCAGTTTAATAATGTTTTGGTAGACAGGTTTACATAAATTGTCCCAGTAATGCCTCATACATTCATGCCAGCCCAGTGCTCACTAATATGTCACTACCACGTGGAGGTCCCTGCTGTGCTGAAAATGGTCCCTTACTTAAATAATAATCTGATCAGTGGTGGTCTTATGGTGGTCCCTTTCCATTGATGGACAGGGTAGATAAACTGTGGAGCAAAGGATGGGCTACAGTCAGCAATACATACCTACAAAGTGCATCTATATGGTAGGAGTACCTGGTAGAATGATAGAATGACTAATTTTTCTATGTATAAGTTTGGTGTACCTTATCAACCGGTAACTGTGTGTTCATAGTATGTCTAGGCATAGTTGGCTGAAAAAAGTTTGAATATCCCTGATCAAATTACACGTTTTGTTGATTTTCTAAGAGCTGCTAAAGGGAACAAACTCTGAATTTATTTTCGCTTGCTGACATTAACATATTGCAACAGCATAAAACAAAATATAAAATGTGCTATAATATTTGCACAGACCACATTTTATGTTTTATTTCTTTACAATATGTTACATTCAGCAAATAAACTATAACTGTGCATTAAAATGTGTGTTCTTTGTAGAGGATGTGTTAACTTATTTTAACACAGAACAAACAACAACACGTGTACTTCAACAAGGGGTGCCCAAAATTTTGCAAACGACTGTAATCCAGAATAAGAAACAGTAGAAATAGCTTTTCTCATACATTATTAGAAAACAAAAATAAATCAAGAAAGTGGATTGCTGCACAAATGAGAGGACTGTTCATGCAACTACACAGAGCCATAATGAGCCAAACATACATCCCCTTCTCAGTCTTTCTTGTATATGTAATACATCTAAAAACGATGAGCACAACTAGGTATCACCAGAGGAGGATGGTTTCATGCTCAAACAAAACACTTTTTTGCCCATATAATTTCCATTTTTTGTCCTCTTTTACGGTAAGAGGTGAAAATTGAGGGGAGCAAATACATACAGACAAGCATGCTGTCCCTGGGGAAGGGGATCGCAATGGGTTTTCCACGGCCAGAAGAATCTGTACGAGGCTCAGGGGATTTGGAGGTGTGCTGAGCTGCAGTGGATGGACTGTGGGTGGTGGGTTTTGCTGTAGTGGTCTGTGACGCACTCTTCAACCTAGACTGACCGTTCTTCTCCTCTGACTGGAACTGGAGAGCCGACCAGGAAGGAGAGACTGCAAGATAGAAGGGAAAAAAGCAAAAGGAAAAAAAAGGGGAATAACATTGTATTTTTTTTCTCTTTCCCTTTCAGACATTTTTTTTATTGTTTTACGGTGCAACCGCTACTGCAGAGACACTCCTGAATGTAGCTACAGTTGTGAAAAAGTTTGTGAATGCTTTATAATTACTGATGGCAGCAGTCATAGTGACTAAAGGAAGGCACAGGCCTCCAATATGTGCTGAAAGAAAATTTTAGAACACCACTGGATTTAGCCATCAATAGACTTGTACCAGTGCTACACACATTACCATGCCACTGACATGAAGGTCCTACAGTCATCTTTTTCCACTGATGTATTTGGTAGAGGGTGGATAGAAAACTTTGTAGAAGCAGATAATTACTGTAAACCTACAAAGGGTAGCTGAGACATTGGCCAGTAAGTGTAGGTAGGTGTAGCTAATAAAACAGTTGTTTTCGAATGGCAGCAATCTGGAATATGAGTCAGAAGAAATTACAATTCTTATGCATTGAAGCAGAAATAGAATTTTTTGTTCTGGCTACAAAAGTGTGATCTGATCATTCAAGTTGTATTAATAAAAACTGTCTAATTTGGCAAATTGCATTTTACCCTTCCATATCCTTACTATTAGCACATGATTTAATAAACAAAGATCATTAATAGAAAAGGCATTTGAAAAAAGAACAATAATTTCTTAGAACTGAGGGCCATTGGAGCAAAGTGTAAATTAATTCAGATGTGAACTTTACTTGTGAACTTTACTTGATCTGCACAAACCACCCAATTCCACTCACTTTCTCTTCACAACAGAAATATTTTCTTGTGCAGAAAGCACTGAACAAGACTTAAGATTGGTAAAGTTTATAAAAATTAAGTAGGAATTGCTTACAGAAAAAATCAATGCTGTTTTTACTCTCCTTACAAGTGGATATTCCTCAAAAACCAGAGCAAGGCCCATTCTTCAAAAGTGAGACAAATGACCCAAATGTGGCAAATAACAATCTGCAAAAATCTCTTGTACTTGATAATGTGTTCATGTGTTAACCCTAAGCAAAATGTTTAAGCACTGCACAAGAGTGATGGTCATAGGAGGTTACCATGTAAGAATCCACTGTTCTGGGCAAAAAAAAGAAAAAAAAAGGACTGTCTCTCAGTCTGTCTCCTTTGTTCCAGTTCAGAAACAATTCTGTATATTAGAACGGCTGAGTCGAAGTCCTCACCTCAACTCCACTGAAATGCTGTGGAATGATCTAACTCAGATTAGCCAAGCAAAAGATCTAAAAAGTATTCAGAAAGAGAAAGTTTAGCTCAGAAAAATGGGTAAACACACCTCCTAACACCTCCCCACTGCACAGGACAAGTCAGCTACAGAAAAAGTGTGACTGATGTGGAGGTCCACTATGTATTAAAGATGTATTCACATACTTTTTTCACTAATGGCCTTATTCAATAACAGATATGGCCCTGCAAAAAGCGTTGTGTTTAAATAAAACTGTCATTATTTACAAAAAGATCAGATCACATTTGTTGAGCCGTTCATGTAGAAATCCTCCGTTCTAAAGGGTTCATGAACTTTCTCACAACCATGTGCTGACAGAAAGCAGCTCAAACCTGGCTTTTTGACATGTGACACTTGTTGCTTGGCGATGATAGACGACAGGTAGTCGATTTCCTCGTCTAGATCAGGAAGGGAAGTCTCTTTACCTGTGAAGAAATCAGACAGTCACTCTCACTCATGAGACACTAAATGAATAAACTTCTTTGAGCCTTGTGTTCTCTAATCAGCACTGTTTCTGATGGGTATCCAGTAATGAGTAATGTGATAACTCGTATGCATTGATGTAACAGTACTATCAGGCTAAAAGGGGATGTTTAAGGCTTGTGGTTGAAGTGCGCGTAAGTGTGTGTCCCGTGGGAGCAAGAGTGTGCCGGAGTGTTGTTTGCTTGAGACACCATGAAAGAGAAACAAAAGCGCTGCATCATTTAATGGTACTGTTGGCCAGACAGTAAGCTGCATTCCAAGACTATGGATGATCCCTCCTAGCAACCAGCAGGAGAGTGTGTGTGGCCAGTGCAGAGGGACACCACAGGGGGTAAAGGCCTTCAGACCATCCCCCTCTCTCCTCTCTGCTACAGAACACTGAGATTATCTTTCAAGCAAAACATCTCTAACACCTAAAGCTGTTACAATACACATATTCAATGGTTCTGAATATGACTGTATTTGACTTGTGAATATGGCACACAAGTGAAATACAGCATATTTTGCAGTAGGAAAAAAAAGTAATATGAGACATACTGATATGCTGACATAAATGGTAATATCTATTGTACTGTTATAAAATTTTCTTATAATATTATTAAAAGAGACAACTTCAAAAGTAAGAAAACTTTGTATCTATTTAAGGTAAAACACTACAGGGGACACTTTTATTTTGTTATATAATATATATCACAATGAATCTCTGCCAGTTAATTACTGATTTTCAAACAAGTATTTTTTGTAGACAGGATACACTAGAAGTAAAGGCAAAGCAATCCATTTGCATCCCAAAAATTGTAAATAACTCCCTGAGCAAATATGATTCCAGGTCTTTGGGGACAGTCTTTATAAAAGCCTTCACAAAAAGCCAGAATAGAGCTAGGAGTGAAGGTATACATTTTTATGAATGTAGGCGTTCTAGAAGCAGAGACTTTTGAATCTGAATGCAGAGGAAAGCTGATTTGGGGAAAATCTGCCATCTCATCTCAGAAACCATGCACCATTTGCAGGGGTGCTGTTGTTAGCACAAAGTAAATAGACATATATTCGGTTCCCACAGTTAGATGGTACAGGAAATAAGCTCTTCAGTGAAGCATGACATGATATGGTTGTGCCAAGTGTACCAGAGACTTCACTAGGGTTGTTTACGTTTGAAAAATCCTGTTAAGACCCGACTGAACGTGAATTGCCAAAACATACTGAAATAAACATATTTCTTTTTACATTTTTATGATTACAGTTTAAGAGGAGACATGCTATAGGTGCAGTTTAAATCAGGGGTGTTTACTATTTCATATGACTATTTCAGCAATTGGACTTTAATCAAAAATAAAAGCAAAATAAGTAAATATCTAAACATTCATTTTTTCCGTAACAAAAATGTATCGTGTCATAGTTCAAAGACCACAATAAATCATACCATTAAATCTCTGTCATCACACCTCTACTTATGTACATGTCAACAAGTCAGCCTTTTAGCCATCTAGGCTTTTACTTCCGTTTTCAGAAATGACAGAATTCTTTGAACTAGGTTTGATTCTGTGAACCCCCAGTACGCCTCTCAGAAAATTAACTGGCTGGAGCAAAAACTGACAAGTGATTCACACTGCGAATGCAGCATGACGCTTTCAGAAAGGTGCAACTGACGGTTGCACTTTAACACAGAGAGAAACTTCCACCCAAAGAAACAAAGATTTAGCACTGCTGAATAAGAACCAGGGCCGTTTCGTGCCATGTCAATTATGCACACAACGTACTATCATTCACACACATTTTCTTTTCTTTTCTTTATTTTTTTATTGATATAGTTTACTACTGCTTTAAAAGTTATTAAGCTTGTTTTCCGGATGAAAATGGTACAAAATATGAATTATTTTTCATTCTTAGGGACCCTGAAAGTCCAGAAAGTGCCCTGATAAGAGCAGTTTTGGTTTGAAGGTTCTATAAGTGCAGAAGTTGTGTGAAGGCAAGATGTTTGTTTGGTCTCCACTCCAGAAGGACAGCCATCTGGCTCCTAGAATGTGCCTGACATGATGCCACAGCACTTTCACTGCCTGCTTTGTTACTCTATGACCCCCCTCTGTCCATCCTGTATAGTGCACTCCACAGCAGGTGTCAAAGGAGGTGGGCCATGCCATCTGTACTAAAGGGAAGTGAAACGAACCAGTAAGTGATGCTTATAAGAGAAGCGTTAAGTGTCAATCTTACAGTTTGACACAGTGGTCCTACAAATTACTAACTAGTGCTGTGCAATATACAGTCGCATATAAAGATTGGAACATCCTTGGTTAAATTACATGCTTGGTTGATTTTCTCAGTGAAAATAGTGAAAACACATCCTCTACAGAGAACACACTTCTGCACATTTTAATTATCATTTATTTGCTTTAATAAATTGAAAAAAAAAACAAAAAAACAAAAAACAAAATGCGGCTTGCCCAAAAGTTAGAGCACATTTTATATTGCATGTTTTATATTTTCCAATATGTTAAAACTAGCAAATAGAAAACTTGCTATAAATTTTGAAGTTAAATGCCATATGTAAGTTTGTTCCATGTGATAATCATGTAGAAAATCAACAAAAAAATGTAATTTGACCAGGGATGTTCAAACTTCTGAATACAGCTGTATCATCTATACCAGTGTACCAGTATTGGTGTCACAGTGCTGCTCTTTACTTATTGATAGATTACATATTTAATTAACTGCAATGCATATAATTTGCTGGGTACTTCACAGTGTTTTGTAAGAACGTCTGTAAATGGAGTTTGTGTCTGGCTAATGTTTCCACTACTTAGGTTAAGGTTCCCTGGGGAGTAAATTTCATAGGAGAAAACAGAACAAAACAATCAAAAACAACCTACATCAGGTTGTGATATAATGTTATTGCACACCACAAACACAAAAGAAAAAGACATGAGTCAGAGAGCGGCACATACTACAATGCATTGTGTGCGTTGGTGGGTGTGTGTATGTGTAAGGGGTGGGGTAAGCCAAAAAAAAGTGTGAATTTGGTATTGTTTGAGTATGAATGGAATGAGAGACTAGATTCCATCTTAGATGGCAGTTTCAGCATTTGCTTGGTAATGTGTGGCCTCCTCCTGAGAGGGGAGTGTGTGCTCATAGTGGGGAGAGGTGCAGAGGTCTCTGCCCTTTAGCAGCTCAGCTATCTCAAAACCACCATCACATAGTGGTTTCGGCACCTGAGAAACGTATATGTGAAGCCATTTATCAGGACAGTAAGCATCTATTTGTCCAAATAAATTGATAAACTATTAACCACTAATAAAAAACATTGAAATAATTCAAACAATGAAAACAATAGAACAGCACCTTGTGATTTAATGTGTGTGTATTTCTAACACTCACCTCGAGGAAGCCCAGTATTTACAGTTACCATCTAATTACCTAGTTCACTGATCAGTCCATTGATCATTAATTTATATAAGGTGTTCTGCTGACACACACAGAGACACACACACACACCATTTCTTTTCTGCAAAAATGTGAAAACTAAAGAAGTCAAGAAATTAAAAAGACAATACTTCAGCTATAATCTGAATCCTTCTTGAGCAATACTACAACAATTCAATTTAGATTGCTGTAATTACAAGTAAATGTCAGAATTTAGTTTTAGTGGTAGATGGCAGGTCTCTTTTTTTAATGGAAAACAATGACTGATGAACTTCATAATAAATACATACAGCACTGTGCAAATGTTACAGGCCCCAACATTTATTATGTTTCCAGTTAAAATGGCCATTTACGGCCATTTATTTTTCTGACAATATTTCTGAGGAGATTAGATATAAAATAATCCATTTATATGAGGAAAATAAGTAGAACAAAAAACAACTTTCCAAAACTGGAGTTCAAAAACATTTTAAAAAATACAAAGAAAATGTGACTCCTAACAACCACGCAAGACCTGGTAGTTCACCAACACTGTCAGCATCATGAGAAGAAAAACAGTACTTAAAGCTTTCATCTTTAAGAGAGAGGAGAAAATCGAGCTCCACTCTTGCTTCAATTCTGAACCAATCCACAGGTGTTTCTGTCCATTCTTCCACTATGACAATTCAATGCTATGGGCGTGTAACGGAATGTGAAACCGTTACTGAGAAATGAAAATAGACAAAAAAAGAAGAAAATTTGCACTAGAACAACAAAAACGGACATTTAAAATGTAGAGTAGGTTTTGCTGACTGGTGAATCTAAATTATTTAATTATTTAATTATTATTACTAAATTATATTTGCGATTTTATGAATTTTGTAAAGCATACAATGCAACAAACTTCTAAGACTGAACTTTAGAGGTGTGGAAATACATCCCTGCAGATTTCTTTAAAGAATTGAAAGCAAGTCTGCTGATAAGAATAGAAAATGCAATAAAGGTAAAGGGTGGAGACATTAAATAATAAACATTATATTTAGTTGTTGAAGCGTCTGTGTAATTTTCTGTTATGTGCATGTTTTCTGCATTTTTCCCTAACACTGAAAAGTGAACTTGCAGTTAATTTTCGTTTTCACTGGAAATTAAAAATCAAATTTTTCATCAAATAAAAAGTTAAGTATATTTGGCTCAGTATTGTACATTAATTAAAGCTCTTATTTAATAAGACACTGCATGATTAGTGTGATGACTGATCATTTAAACTTCATTATGCTGCCCATATTCAACCATTATGTTCTGACAGACTGTTCTGACTGTTTTGGGATCAACAATTAAGGCCTTGAACAAGAACAATATGCTCTGGTACGTTAGGTGAAATAAGGTCAGAAGCCTATATGAGCTAACGCCTCGACTAATTCTCTAACGGGAAAGGCCTTAACCTTTAAGTGAAGTTTTTTGATTGTGTAAGCAATTCTGTCAAAATATATTCGTTGCTCTGAGTGCTACTTCAAACACTTCAGTTGTCCAATCAAACATTAACTTTTGT